TTAGCCTAGGTATACTATATACTATTTTTTTAAAAAAAAGTAAATTATAAAAGATTTAATATAAAAATAAGTTAATTAGTAAAATAAAGGAAAAGGTTAAATAGGCTAGTAGTACTAGGTAAAAAAGCTTATTAGAGATTTAATTATATTTAAGACTAGGTTTTTAGTTAAATAAAGCTTTATTAAGCTATAAAGGTTTTAAATATAAAGGTAACGCTAACTAGAGTAGTTGTGGTAGTCTTAACTTTAAACGAAGTAGTTCACATAACGGGAGTAATAGTAGTTAATAGGGTGCTTTGGATATAGGCTGAGCAAAAGGCAGATCCATTGGCTTTTTTCTTCTTAAAGGCTACGTTGTTGGGATCAGTAGCTTTGCAGGCTGCAAGGATGGTTGTTAGGTGAGTTTCACTGGGTGTGGGGTCTACATACCTGCTCTTGGGTCCAGAAGGTTTCTCTTATCGAGCATCAGATCAGACATATGGCCATTGCTGTCAGCCGCTGGTAGGGCACTCGCGGCGCCGACAAACAGCAGCATCAGAAACTTCTTGATGGAGATCATTTTCGCCACACAGATTCAAAGACTACTTCACGGGTAAGATCAAGCAAGGGTTAATGGGAGCATTGAGGCAAATAAGTATAAAATCAGAGGCAGCTTTCCCTAGTTCCCTAGCCTAGCATATTTTGCTTGTATATCATAAACTTCATTAGGTCAGTTGACCCCAGGGTCTGGTTCAGTTCTAGCCTGCAACAAAGGAACTGTCTGGACTTAGCATTCTATCAAGTGGTGTGACTTGAACCTGACTTAAGTCAATAGTTGGCATGTCAGGAATGTTGAGGCGCTGACTAGATCGTATCAAGTAATTCTGGTAGAGCTAGAACAGCTTCTAGCGAGGTGGGGACGCCTGATAGACCTTTCTACTGCAACCATGCTTCTACTGAAAGGTTATTCCCAAGTTTATTATTCTAACTGGAGGATAAAGTTCTTGCCCTATGACTGTCACCTGGTGAGCCAGGATAGATTTGTTCTGGCTTGATGTATGAGTCGTTTGGAAACAGGGCGTATATTTATCGGCAACGAAAAAGAGTGCACTGGGTTATACGGAGTAATAACTATGTCTTTTAGAGATAGATATAACAGAATGGTGAACCACCCAGAGTGTCAAGCGCATCATCAATGGTGATCTCCGCCGCATTGACCCCCATATTCAGAGGATCAGACTTCAAAGTGTCCCGACTGGGAGGTCTGTTCCCGATAGTGATAGTACCAGCGATATCCCGAGCCTGCTTGGGATGTAAAGCCTGCCAGATCCAGTAAACACGATCAACCATAGCATGATGCAAAAAGAAAACAGGCTCGTTAGACGAAGAGTAGAGATCAGATGAGTCACCACCAATGGCAAAGTGACCAGCGCCGTGCAAGCCCAAGAATCGATCTGGAAATCGGCCTTGAAACTCGTCTTGCATGATCTGAATGCTGTGTGACGCATCGCCGAGCGTGACGTTGTACAAGTTGTGAAAATCCATCCACTTATCAATCGCGTAACGGCCGAGATCTCGACGGAGACAGCGGGGGTTGTACTCTAGGGGTGCACTGGTGGCTTCCATTCCGTCCATACCGGGAGAGGGAGGTCCAAGATTAGCGGTTGCGCCGACAAAGGGGCCATTTTTTATACAGCCACCTCCGTTACCGCTTGGGAGAAAAATAGTTCCTTGGCCAGAAACAGAGCCGTTATGCTTGAAGAACTCGCCATCGCCGCTCATACTGGTCTCGGAACCGTCGAAGAGGGGGTTAGTTGCAAAGTCGCCTGTTTCAAACCAGTTCCAGTACTGTAGTCAATTATAAGCTTCAAATTCTTATCATAAGCACTTGTCCAAATTCACTCACTGGCTGGGTGCCTTTGTAGCCGCACTCATCTCGCAAAGCTTTTTCATACACCCAGGTATAGTATCGATGCCAGGTGAAGAAGTTTCCCTAAAGCCTTGTTAGTTTGAAATTTGTTGACAGCTCAAAGAAGAATGAGAACTGACAGTTGCATGAATGGTGCGAGTCTGGTTGATATGCACAGCGACAAAATCGTCATATCTGGTGCGTGCACCAGGCGCAAAAGAAGGGTCCGCTTTGGAAGGTTTCTTTCGCAGACATAAAACGGCATTGATGTATGCCTTTCTCTCTTTTTTAGATAGGGCTTTCCTTTACTAGTTATTAGCCACGGTTCAATGCGTCTTGGACTTAAACTTACCAATCCCGGCGCACGTCCGCGTTGGCGATTGTGCACTTCTTGCGACTGCTTGGTGCCTGAGCAGTTTCTAGCGCGCTAGTTGCTTTGCTGTTAAGCTCTAGCATGAGATCACCAGCGGATTGAGTCGGTGAAGCCGCAACTAGCGACGGAGCGCTCAGCAAAGCAGCGAGTAGTATTCCATAACAGAGCTGCATGGTTTCTTGACGCGTTTCGTACCTGGTCTCGACAATGTCTCGGTGGCAGGAATGTAAGGAAATAGAGGGCAGTGCGATGAGATTATAACAGAAAAGTAAGCAGAAAATTACGGTCAAAAGTGCATTAGTGCATGGTCGTATAAATGTTAAGATAGAGAAAAACTTCAAGGACCCTAGCCAAGGCCAAGTCGGAGCAACTTCTGTTCCTGGTGTTGCGCCGCGATTTTCCGTGCATCATTGCTGGAACCAGATCCTACAAGCCCTTGGCGCTGCAGCCCTAGGGTGCAGGGTCTGACAACTATGGATTTATTGCTTTTCATGGAAGCTATCCCGTCGATTTTAGCAAGGGCAAGTAATTGATGAGCAACGTGTTAGGTCGCGATTTACCCGGAAGCCCCTGGACATATGCATCTAAGATTTTAGGGGAGCCAATGACTGACCGTTGCTGACTCGCAAATTCATACCAGTTCCGGGGTAGCTTAATGTTGTCACGTTTAAACAGCTATTTGCCCGCTATTCTCGTATATGCATTCTGCAATGCTGACCATATGTTGACTCCGTTTCAAGGCTCTTTATATAAGATAGCAGGTTGCTGCTTAACCCAAACTAGTGCAGCATCTCAGATCCCATGTGCAGCCCAGGTCTAGCCATCCGGTTTCTCCTCATGCTCTTCGAACCATCGATTCCAGTCTAATTGAAAAGAAGCTACAGACAGTTCCTAAGCTGGCCATACAACTTGAGTTTCACGATGTAATCGGTAACTCTAGATTTAAGCTTAAATACATTTCTGGAGTCCCGATGTATCCTATGATGTGCTTAAGCAGGAACACAGTCAGGGAAAAGTGACTATTTGCCACTTATAGCTGTCCGAGACTGTAGGTTGATTGAAACTGCTACGGGTTGTAGGTTCCCCTTCAAGAGACACCGCATCTTGGGGCCTCTGTGAAGCAAGGAGTGACAGTCTGACAGAGTTATATCTTAGTCTGAGCTTTTAAGCCAGTCTCTCTATGTCCTCTCGGGCCGATTTTCCTACCTGCTACGTCCTTGGGTCTAATCAAACTGTTCAGGCATGCCAACTTTCAGATCGCCCAACGATCCGTGCTAATCCCAGGACACTTAAACCTTCTGCTTACGGACAAGATCGAGTATCATAAGTTTACTTTTTCTTAATTTAGTTAATACAATGGTATTTTGCCTTTCAGATATATAGAAGTTATTGAATTCTAAGGGTGAACTGTAATTACCTTGACCTTCTTAACGATTGTGTTCGTAACTCACTCCTCCCGGACGCTAGAGACTGGAAGATATTAACTAAGAACTTAGATCCACTACTAAGATCAACTCCCACTGGCCAGCCTTACGAAGAGACCTCCAGGAAGTGGGTTTGCGAAGCACGTTCGCTTGGCACGGAGGACTGTGGGTCGACGTTGAAGATTTCAGCCCCATAAGGACGGAGGTGATAGCCTCATGGAGCTAAACAATCGTTTCAAGGGTTACATTATTCCGAGTAAGCGAGAGGGCAGACGGATATTAATCATGTGATTGAGGGAAGAAACAAATCAGTCGGTCGCTGTTTAAAACCCTCTTGTTCTTTCGCCAATCCGCATTGTGCTATTGTTAAGCTTGAAACATGATGGCGGATACCCCTTGGTCGGCCTTCCAGGACACGCTGACAGCTCGAGACTGGATAGCAGCTCTCATAGCTGCGTGGCTTGTGTTTAAAGTTTTGCAGACATTGTATAATATCTCGCCTTTCCATCCGCTTAGCAAGATCCCTGGTCCGAAACTCGCTGCGGCTACGTATCTGCCCGAATTCTACTACGATGTGATTCTCGTCGGTCGCTACACCCATACTATCAAGCAGATGCACGAGAAATATGGTAAGCCCTGTTCAGCAGGTCGAAGCGCAAAACTCTAATCCTCCTCTAGGCCCGATCGTTCGCATCAACCCCAATGAGCTGCATTGCGCTGATATGTCCTTCTCGGATGAAATCTACGCGGTCGGCGGTCGCAAGCGCGATAAGCCCTTCCATCAAGTCAACGGCTCGGCAGCTGGAACAGGAAACGCTTTTGGCACCCCTGATCACGACCTCCATCGCGCGAGACGTGCACCCGTTGCCAAGTTCTTCTCACGAGCTATGATCGCCCGTCTCGAACAAGAAGTCCACGACCTGGCACAAACGCTCTGCAACAAGCTTCTAGCCGAGAACAGAGATGAAAAAGATCGTAAACCTTTTGAAATCGCCCATGCATACAGCTGCTTTACCTCTGATGCTATTTCAAGCTACTGCTTTGGTGAAGCATTTGGATTACTTTCTCGCAACCAGTGGCAGCCAAACTACCGCGAAGCCACTCTTGCGGTCCTTAAACCAGTGTTCTTCTTTCGTTTCTTCCCTATTCTTGTTTCTAGCGTGAAGCTGGGAAAATATTTTATTGACTATCTGCCGACTGATATTGCCCTTCTTATCCGAACTTTACAAATCGACATTCCTTCGCGTGTTCAAAAGACGAAGAACGAACTGGATGCAGGTATTGTTTATGATCGACCAACCATTTTCGCAGATCTGCTTCAATCTGAGCTTGATGATAGTGAGAAGAAGCAAGATCGTCTCGTTGAGGAGGCTGTTACTATCGTCAATGCTGGAACTGAGACGACGAGCTGGGCGTTGGCCGTGATTACATATTTCCTCTTATCACAGCCCGAGACTCTTGCGAAGTTACAAGATGAACTGAAGCAAGTCGTTGACGATCCATGCCATTTGCCTTCTTGGACGACATTAGAGCAGCTCCCATATCTCGGAGCAGTCATCAATGAAGGTCTGCGTCTATCTTATGGCGTTTCTAGCCGCACAGCTCGCGTGCCAACAGCAGAAGACCTCGTTTACAGAGGAGAGTTTAACAAAAAGCCGACGACTTTGGTGCTGCCCCGAGGCTATGCAATCGGCATGTCGGCGGCAATCGCACATCACGATGAGTCTGTCTTCCCAGACTCGTATACCTTTGCTCCTGAACGATGGATCGATGAGGACAACAAGATCAGGAAGGACTTGGAGAAGTCAATGATTGCGTTTTCCAAGGGTAGCCGCGGGTGTCTTGGTAAAAAGTACGATACGCTTTTCTCTCAGTTGGGTATTTTATTAACATATTGTTAGTCTTGCATTGTGCGAGTTGTACCTCTCGCTTGCAGCTCTGGCTTTGAGAGTGATGCCTTATATGCGGTTGTATGAGACAACCGATAGGGATGTCCGCTATGACCATGACATGTTCATTCCGATGACGGAGAGTGGAAGTAAGGGAGTCAGGGTAATCATTGAGAGCTAGATTATTGCCTCGGCCTAATACGACTTACTTTATCATGCTTGTTTGCTCTAGTCCGTACCTCGCGCTATCCTACCCGATATGTACTAGCCTCAATTTGTGGAGGAATCCCAGAGTGGGTAACCCGGAGTACATCAAGCTTCACAGCCACTCGTGTTTGGTGCTATTGTATCGCTTATCAACTTGGATTAACGAAGATGCCGATGAGCTGCTGCCGAAAGTGCCGAGAAGGCCTCTTAGAAAATATCATGCTATCTTCCTAGGACATAAAGGGAATTCCAGATGGAGTTCCTTGTGAGGCATCAGCCAATCTGAGAGCGCTATTTGCTTAATCTTATGCCACCAGGCCTCCGGCTCGAATGACGAACTGATTCAGGTTTAGCTCTCTACTGTCAGCTTGAGAAAGGTCTAGGTACGGAGTACAACTTGCTTAATATATAAACACTCGCACTTCATCAGTCACTATTAATTAATCTCATAGTAAATACCATCATTCTTGTTGTTTATAATATGGTTTCAAAAATGGAAACTCGCAGTTACTCATATTCAGGCGCGCCTCCGCCATACTCCAGCCTTGGTGCAACTACTTCGGCAAGAACGTTCTCAGACGCAAGCCAACCTGTTCTTGTATCTGTCCCAACACTTGAACAACCTACATGTCATCCATCAGAGAAGCCCATCGCTATCCCCGCAACAAGCTCCAAACTCGGCTCACCATTCCTAAGAGCCTTTCCACCTATCCTCGAACACCAATACCATCTCCCTCGGGAAGTCTTCCTCAGATTTCTCGATGATCTCAACCGTGCAGCCGTCGCTAGTCCCCCAGTCCAGATACTGGGAATGGCCGGCAGCATTGTATCAATGATACCGCTGCACACTGCACAGATCGTTGGTAGCTCGGTTAATGCGGCAGCTACTCTTTCGACATACGCCATAAGTAAATATCGAAGCGAGCTCTGCATCAGCACGGCGAACAAAGAACTCTTCATGCCCAGAGGTCTTAAAGCTGAATTTGCGAAGTTGGATGTCGTTGCTCGTTATGCTCGGATGCCCATCCTCAATAATGAGGGGAAGATCGAGAAGAACAGCATGATTCTTGGACCATTGGAAGATGCGACAGCTCAGGCTCCAGTTACTGTACAGCAACGCAGACTCCAGGCCCTCGAGCCATGGATTGCACCGCTGGACCTTACACCGTTACCTGAATTGCATGTACCAGATAACTTTGTAAGCAAAATGCACGCCTCAAGGAGTGAACGACAGCGAAAGAAGGAGGAAAAGAAGATGACAAAAGATAGAGCCAAGGCACATGACGATTGGACCGAAGACTCAAGAAAGGCTCGAGAGGACTATGAGAAGGAGATGCGAAAGATAGAAGAGGAATTCGAAAAGGCTCAGCGTAAGCACGTCGATGAACCTCGCAAGTTGGAGAGAGAGTTGAAAAAGCTGGATAGAGAGAAGGAGAAGTGTGAGAAAGAGTATGAGAAGGAAATGAAAAAGGTGGACAAGGATAGACGGAAGGATGATAAGGAAGAGGAGGGTGTGAGAAAAGTGCTATGGCTGCTTATCAGACCGATAGGCAATGAGCTTATGGAGTGATATCTGTCTGGCACAGACGACGCTAGAGGTGTATTTGGTTCGTAGATAAATGGGCTACTTGTGTATAGATTCCTGAATATCATTTCAATCCGCTGCGCCTATGTTTTACATGCAATTTCGTCCTTGTCCAAATCCTCATCGTCGCGCCAATCCGACATCTAGTCCCATAGGCTTCCTCAAGAATCCCTCTCTAGTCTCCATAATATCCTGTCTCAAGCGAACGTCATATCGCTTGATCCAAGTGGCAGCGATGAGTCTCATCTGCATCTCAGCCAAGTTCCTTCCAACACAAGATCTAGGACCATAGCTGAAGGGGATAAAAGCATTCTTCTGCTTATCAGTCAAGTTCTCCCAACGCTCAGGCTTGAACTCATCAGCGTCAGGGCCCCAGATCTCAGTAGAGTGGTGGATCGTATAAGTAGGCACGCTGAGAACAGTACCGGGGCCAAAGTACCGTCCGTGGAGAGTAACGCCCTTGTGGTTGGGGGGAATCTCACGGGGCAGACCGATACCAGACGGGGAGTGAATGCGCAGAGTCTCGTTGATGCAGTGACCGAGATAGGGAAGATGCTTGACGGACTCATAGTCAGGGATGGCAACGTCCTCAGGAACAACAGCGCAAATCTCCTCATAAAGCCTCTGCATAACCCCAGGAGTTCTAACAATATGATACAGCAGCGCACAAGAAGAGTTAGAAGTAGTATCACTTCCCGCGATGAGTTGAGTAAGAGCTTCAGCGGTGAGTTCATCACGACCAAGAGGTTCGCCCTTCTCATCGCGGCCCTGCATGAGACGAGCTAGGAGATCCTTGCGGGTGGAATCACCGCCGCGCTCGAGACGCTCGCTGACACGGGCGATGGCGATGCCCGCGAGGTTCTCGACGGCTTGGAGACCTTGGCTGAAGAAGGGGTCGGGGAGATACTTGGCGTAGGGCTTGAGTTGGGGGAGACAGCCGAGAGTGGCGGAGACTTCGCCGCGGCGGTTCATGATCTCGACGGCTGGGGCGTAGATGGTGGGACTGGTGGGGGAGGCCTTGACCTCCGCGATATCGGCACCAGTTGAGAGCATGCCTATGAATGTTAACAATATACCGACCAAGCACATGTATAGACTTACCGAAGGGCTTGCCAAAGGCGAGATCAGCAATGATGTCGAAAGCAAGAAAGTTGACTACACGATGTCAGTACGTCTCAAAGAGCTGAGTTGATATACACTTACACCAGTTGAGGCAGTCTACGCTTCCGTATCCATCAGCATCCTTGTTGCTAGCAATGCGATCCCATTGGTTGATGAAAATATCGAGATTCTGTCGGATATAGGGCTCAAACTCCAAAACAGACTTGGGCGCGAAAGTATGGGACACGATCTTTCTCTTGCGAGAGTGCTCAGCTCTGTCGCGAGTGTTGAAAAGACCCCGACGGATAGAGACAAATGTATCATAAAAGTCACTTATTCGTCAGCTCCTCGCTCTCAGCAAAGTAACACTAGATAATACCCACGCCTTTAGGAAGCCATTTCCATGTCCGTAGATAGTGTTGATAGCATCTGCATCAGCAACGCTAACATGGTTCGGCGCAATGCGAACCAAAACACCCAGCTTCTTATGGACCTGATCAACAATCTCATAACGCTTTCCACGACGACATGTAGATAGTAGCCAAAGATTGGTGAACTGTGCTGGGAAGGGTGCGGGAATACCGCGGAGGTTGGAGTTGCTGATCCATGGGAGGATATACCATGCTACGAGAGCCACGGCGAGGGCGAGGGGTGCCCAGGGCGAGATCAAGAGTTCTGTGAGAGCCATGATGGTGAGATTTTACCGGGAGAGATACTGGATGATGAGGTAGGGATGGTTGAGGAGTGGAAGGTGAGTATTTGTATCAGGATAGAACTACTAGAGCGGATAGTAGGATGCCCCGGATTTACCCCAGATGCGAGTGTTGATGAGCTCCGAGGAAGCCTTCCTTTATTGGGCTTAGCGTAGACTGTTCCTCGGCACTTGAATTGTATGGCCTATGATTGGTCGACGGTAGATTTCCTTGTATGCCATTGGACAGGATCTGGTTATAGCTCGAGAGGTGTGAACTGGGAGATCTATGGAATGACTGCAGATAATATAATTTCCGTGTTTTAATGACATTAAACTTATTTATCTTATAATATCGCCTCAATAACCAGTGCAGAGGCCTATCTCCAGTGCGATTGTTGCCCTTCGCCATTTAATGTGCTGCTCAAAATTCGGCATTTCAACGCATCCGATTGGCTCCTATTCCGCGGAACCGGTCGGCAAATGGAGACGGAAGTAAGGTTGCTCAGAGCATCATGACTATCGTGGCACAGCAAACCTCATCCATAGTGGATCTTCAATAACCTTTTGCAACAACCTTCCCTCAGTGCCAAACACCACCTCAACGCCACCATCTGGCAGCGTGGGTAGAACAACGTGGCAGCCAGGCAGGATGCCTGTGTTGGGACATCGAATCGCCTCAATCCTATCTCCCAACAACGGGCCCCATTCCACTGTTGCCAGGTCAAACTCAGCCCATGAGGTCTGTACAGAAGATCTCCCCAGCACGTCCAGGAAGGCTGTTGGCACTAGCCTGGTCACATCTTCCAGCTGATCGACAAGTGTCACAACATCACCTGTGAACTGGTTGTCCAGGCGCAGATTCACCTCCTTGCGTATAAGCACTGCAAGATCTGCCAGGCTCAAAGTAGACAGGATTTCGCGGATCGGCGCTGAGACGGAGATGTACTGGAGAAAGCAGCCTAGAGTCTGAGGGTGAACTGGAGGGTCGGTACGCTTTCGGCCATCCACGGCAATGTTAAAGACGGAGTGCGGGTTCTCGCCATCTTCGAAGCTGGTGATGGGTGCTTGAACGGCGACTGCGGTACGCCACATGAGAGCTGAAAAGGCATCGTTGGTAGAGATCCATTGCTGGTCTGTTGGTCTAGTCGCACGATCGGGCGATGCTTCGGCTTTGAGAAACGCGAGCGCCGATGGAGAAAAGTAAAAGACCCGTCCACGGAATGTCGTGCTCAGCATCGCGGGAGACGCGCCCGTTGGTGTAAAAGGTAGAATTGTATACTCAGGGTGGTCCTCCGGACGTCCTTTGTTGCGACCAGAAGGTCTTGTGACGCGCGCTCTGTCAGCAAGCATCGCATCATCAATAACAACTGGAGTTGGAATCTCAAGGCCCTGGATGCGGCGGCATTCTTCTGCCCAGACTTTGGTCCAAGTGAGATAGGTAGTGGCATCGCCAACCATGTGAAAAACACACCACCCGATTATTACGCCACCCCGAATTAAGTTGGCTTGGGCTAGAGAAACATGCACAGGTTTCCCTGGTTGAGGCCAAAGAGGGCCAGGCATAAGAACGTCGGCATCGAATGCTGAGATGGGGAAGTGCTTCGCCTTGAGCTCTTCATAATTCCATTCATATTTCTCCGGGTCTCGTAAATCCTTAAGCGCCATGTCTCCAATTAAATCATCGGGCAATCTCTGCAACTTGAGCACATTCGCCTGCGTTGCCTCGAGATCAGGCACTGCTTCTGAGGCCATGGAGCCAATTTTCTGACAAGCAGCTTTATAGCCCCCTTTGAGAATCTGCATGACCTTGTCGGGATCGCTGTCATCTGCCAACCGCATTGGGAAAACATAGCGAAGATAGCCTCTTGGCCCAACACGCTCAATGGCTGTCAGCTCAGGGACGTCGCTCAAAGTGGGCGACATGTTGGAAGAGGTAATATGGTCTGCAACTTGGAAGAATGAACAATGCGTAAAGAAATTAAAAATCGTAAGAAATCTGGGATGCTGGAAGTATTAGCACGATTGTGTGTCTTGATGTTACATTGATAGACAGGCATATAAGACTGTTGGTCGACCCTTGACAGTTGCCCCCCCCCTCCCCCAGAATGAGTTACTCAATTAGGCAGAAGTTCCGAAAGGTTGATACTGTACCTACCATAGAGTGTCGTGGCTTGTTATCAACCAGAAAGGCATAACACGCGAGGCCTAAGCAAACATGGCGTCCATATAAGACACATAATCTCAAAAGCAATGCTGACGCTTGCATAGTACCTCACTTTGGTAATGCATTCAGCATAATAATCTATAGTGCCATAACACGCAGAATGAGCCAAGTGCATGGCTGCCTTGGCAATGCTATCAGATATTAGATTCAGGCTGAGCTTTTGAACCAACGTGGTCAGTCCAAGACGCACAACATCCTCAAAGAATAGAAGCCGGAAATGGCGAACCCTGGTTCCCAACGGGCAACTGATTGGACAGCGGAACACGGCCCGGCATACGCTCGTGGGAACAAGGCGGGAATGCCCGGAAGAGTATTTGGTTGGTGCGGTTGTGGTTTGATGTAACGTCAAGTTGGTATCAAATGTGCAAAAGAACCTGGAAGATCCCCATATTAGCATGACATCCAGTACCAACTGCATATGTTGGTTTGTCCGCTGCTTGTCTCGAAAGTCCCTCGGCATTACTTTTCACTCAAACACAACCATTAAGATTTATCCGTAAACATGTTCCTACCAACAGTTGTCTCCGAACAGGGCATGCTCATGCTTTTCTATCAAAGTCATTTGAACTTCCCAAGTTCCCATTCTCTCGTTCTTTGCACGGATTTAATCGCCGAATGTTTACTTTCTTAGGATCCCTCAAACCACTGCTCAAGCATGGATTCCCCGATCGACCCTCTAATCATTGCTATCGCCGGCCCTCTTCCCCCTGACGTTGACCTCAGTGCCAACACTGCGGCGTCCGACAGAGCCGCTATAATCAGTGTATTGATACTCGCGCTGATCGCCATCGCACTTCGATTTACTGCTAGAAATATCCAGCAGACCAAGATACACTGGGATGACTGGGTTATCATCATCTCTATGGTAATACTCACCCAACCCTCACTCCAAAGCTTCAATAGCTGACAAATAAATACTATATACAGGCGCTCGTAGGGGGAACTGCAGCTTTGGCTATAGCAGGTATGCCAGCATTACGAAGGCCGACTCTACTTTCATACTAACAGCTCTCAGGTGGTCATTACGGTGCAGGTAAGCACATATGGGCTGTCGACCTAGTCAGCCTAGAACAGATCTACAAGGTGAATTTGGGTATCCTTCAATTCAGTTCACCACTCAGCTAATAACCACAGATACTATTTGGATACACGTTTTTATACTCTGCATCCTGTGCCGTCATCAAGATTTCGATCCTGCTCTTCTACAGCCGCATTTTCCTTTCCACGGAGCTTCTCTTCGCCCTTTCCATGAAGTTTGGGTACTTCCTTTCGATATCGTATCCCATTGTGGTTTGGGTCACTATGGGAAACGTCTGTCGACCGTTAGACCACTTTTGGACACAGTTCGCGGGCACAGAGGGGACCTGCATTGACATCAATACGTTCTTTCTCGCCCTTGGTATCATCAACATGATCAACGATTTTTATATCCTTCTTATACCTATACCGCATATCTTCCGGCTACAAATGTCACTACGGAAGAGGGTCGGCGTTGCTGGTATTCTTATGTTAGGAGGTTTGTGAGTTACTCATGCTCAGCCATGAATATATTTATACTAACTATTACCAATAGTGTCTGCGCTGCTAGCGCCGTACGCATCCACTTCCTCTCTGAGCTTTCCAAGACCAAGGACGTCACAAGAGCCATGGGACCCGTCTTCATTTGGTCTGACCTCGAACCGTGTATTGCAATTGTATCCGCATGTCTTCCGCACCTTGCGCCGTTGCGACATATCATTCGAGACAAGATCTCTTCAACGTTGGGCAGCCAAGATGCAAAAGGAACAGGGACTAGCTCCAAGCAGTGGAAGAGTGCTGCGTCGAACCCAAAAGGGCCTATGTTTACATACGGAGGGTCCAGGTACTTCGGAGGAGGCGATAAGCTTAAGCTTGCAGATCATGATGATGAGGCTGAGCTGACCAACCGGATAACGGGTGGCGAGACCTTGGGTCACACAGCCTCTACTCAATCGAGCTCAGCAGAGAATGTCAACAAACAAGGTATTCATGTCCATACGAGTTATACACAGCAAACAGAGGAAAGATGATGAATCTAGAAAAGGGCATACTTAAAGACAAGGGATTCTATTATGTATCTGCATTTTGTAAAATACAGTTATCGCTAACGCTTACTCATTTAAGATTAAGAGTTTAGGTGAGATAAAAAGTTATTATTTTTATATCTACGGTATATATATCATAGGCTTAGTGAATAGAATTAACAAGAGAAATATATATATTAAAGTCCTAATAAACTATACCTTTACCACGAGATAGGGAAAACCGGGCGAACCGATGAAAAACCCCATCCCCTCATTGTTTTGTCCCCCGTCATAACCCATCATACCCCAACTGCAAGCATTGTGGACTTGTTTCATAGCCATGTACCAAAGATCTTGATATAAATCATCTTGACAATCTGGACCTCCACAGCGTAAAGCAACAGCTCAGCAGCCAAGAACCCAACAAATGTCGTCGCTGGTTGAGCAAAGCTAAACGCGGGTCTGAACGCCGGGATCCAGGGTAGGACAAAACCAATCGCCATAATCGACGCAGTCGAGAATACAAGGATCGGCGCTGCCCGGCTCTGGACAAAAGGAATTTTGGCTGTACGGAGCAAGTGGACGATCATTGTCTGGGTGAGAAGACTATCAGAGTATTAGTGGTGGAAAATGGGAAGAGTTGGGGATAGCTTACCCTTGAAGGAACCAGTGTGTTTGTGCCAGCTTGACATTGTCGGATGTAGTTCGAATGCCGTAGAAGAACCAGTTGAGAGAGAAAGTGCACATGTCGATGACTGAACTTGTAGGACCGAGGACAACGATGAACTTGAGGATGTCTGCTGCTTGTTAGACATGGCCATTGGGGGGGAGACAAGAAAACTTACCCTTGGCGTTCCATCGTCGTGGTTGGGTCAGATACTCTTCATCAACGCGATCCCAAGGAATGGCGATCTGACTGATGTCATACAGAAGATTCTGAGCGAGAAGCTGAATGCTGGTCATCTATACACAAGTTAGCATACTCCCTGCAAGACATTATAAGCTACTCACCGGCGTGTAAGGGAGCCAAGCACTAGCCGCCAGAATACTAAAAACATTACCAAAATTGGACGAAGCTACCATCTTGATATACTTGATAGTATTCCCATGTGTAATCCTTCCCAAAATTACACTCCGCACAATAATGGAAAGCCCCTTCTCCGTCAGTATCAAATCCGCACAATCCTTTGCTACGCCCGCGCCAGAGTCAACAGAGATTCCAACATCTGCATCTCGAAGCGCACCGCAGTCGTTGATCCCGTCACCGAGCATACCAACGCAATTACCGGCCTTCTGAAGAGCGAGAACAATGAGGCTCTTCTGCTTGGGCGTTACTTTGGCGAAGACACTGCATCGTTCAACGGCGAGGTCGAATTCATCCGAGTCTTCGAGGAGAGCGAGTTCAGGACCGGAGATGGCTTCGGCGTCGTCGTCCATCGTTTCGGAGTGCTGGAGGAGTTCGAGGAAGCGGCAGATGTTGAGAGCCACAGGGAGAGAGTCGCCGGTCAAGACCTTGACTTGAACACCGAGCTCGGTGAGGCTTGCGATGGCGTCTTTGGCGTCGTCCTTTGGTGGATCGGAGAAACTGATCATTCCCTCAAGCGTCATGTCCGTCTCAAGCATATCGAGCTCATTAACATAAGACTTTCCAAGAATACGCGACGCGACGAGAAGAACACGATATCCATCCATACTCTTCTGCATAGCGAGTTGTCTCCATCGAGCTTGCATCTCAGTGCTGAGATACTCGCTCTTACCGGCTGACCGCATGGAAGAGCAGCGGGTGAGGACTTCGTCGAACGCGCCTTTTACGATGAGGAGGTACTGGCCTGTGATGCCGCGGACGATACAGCCTGAGCGACGACGTTCGAAGTCGAAGGGAATAACGCGGACTTGTTCGTAGTGTGCTACACCGACTTCATCGCCGTTCGGGAGGTGATAGTTGAGAATAGCTCTGTCCATGTTGTTGCCGCTGTTACCTTGGATTTGGGAGTCGACTTTTGCGAGTTCAATGATGTTGAGCATGTCTTCACCTTCGGCGTTGGAGTACTTGTGCACCGAGAGCTCGTCCTTGGTTAAAGTTCCTGTCTGCCTTGTCGTTAGCACTGGGTAAAGTCGCTGAGATGGAATGCATACCTTGTCGCTGCACAGAACAGTCATGGCGCCGAGATTCTGAACCGAGTCGAGACGCTTGACGATGGCTTGTTTCTTGGAAAGCTGATGGGCGGCTCGTGCGAGATTGGCGTTGACGATGGCGGGAAGCATCTCTGGAACGAGACCGACTGCGACGCTGATGCTGAAGAGCGCTGCGTTCTTCCAGTCTCCTGTGACTTTGCCGGAGATGCAGAGAACCTGAGCATGATCAGCCAGTTGAAGTCGGCGGCTGGTTTTGAGAATTACTTACAATGGGAACCATGACGATCATGAAGCCGATGAGCATCCAGGTAACATTGAGGATGCCCTTTTGGAAGGCGTTGGGCTGTCGCTTCTTCTCAACCTCCTTGACCATGGTTGCAATCATAGCATCTACAAACATTAGCCACGTTCTCTGCCAGGGCTAGAGATGACTTACCATCACCAGTCCGAATAACAAGTCCAACACCGTGACCACTCACAATATTCGTCCCCATAAGCGCAACATTACTAAAGTCAAAGATCGAGAATGCTTCCTTCGCATCATGAGGTCCCGCATCCTTACCCACAGGCTCACTCTCACCCGTCCAAGCAGACTGACTAATCCTCAAGTACGAAGACTCGAGGATAAGACAATCAGCGGGGACGATGGCGCCAGGGACCAGAATGACGATATCTCCAGGGACGAGGTCAGTCTCGAGAACAGTGCCTTCGGTCCAGGAGAGTTGAAGCTCGTCTGTGTAAGTTGCAGGTCGGCGGACTCGAATCTTGGGAATGATGGCGGATTGAAGACGAAAGATTGCGACACCGCTTTGGAACTCTTGCCAGAAGCGCACACCGACAGAAATAACGATCATGACCATAAGAATAGCAAACCCTTCCTGTTACCTCATTAGCCCCACCACCAACCCTCTACTTTCAACACCATACTCACCCAGCTAGGATCCGGCATCGCAACATTAAGAATCGCCAAAAACATCAACAGAATATTAAACGGATTCGGAATGACACTCAGCAACAGCATAAACCAAGACTGCGGCTTCCGCGACGAAACAACATTTTGACCCTGAATGCGTCGTCGTACAGTAGCCTCAGCCTCAGAAATGCCATCACTGCTCGAAACCAAATGCGCAAGCGCCGTATCAGGAGTCATGGACGCAATCCACCGCAGAATATCTTCTGGCGTGCTCTTGGTTGCCCGGTCTGGGTTTAGTTGCCATGTCGCAGTTCGCGTGCGGGATTTGCCGTGAAGACGGCCAAGGATGTTAGTGTCGCGGCGGGCCATGATGTTAACATCGGTTGACGGGTCATTCGTTTTCGAAGATTCTACACCAAATCTAAAACTGTCAGTTAAACAGCCTTTGTAGCAAAGGTAGCATTGGGCTCCTACAAAACTTAAGGTGGATCAAAGTCTGCTGCTTCAGACTTGGCGATTCCTCTGAAGAGGAGAAGTTTCAACGAGTTCTCCAGATTTTCGAAAGGTAGGGAAACTGCAACAATAGAGTTGTTCATCGAACTGAACAGAATAATTTACTGTGAGTAAAGTAGAGCAAAGCAAAGCAATGTGCAGGAAGTTGGGGGGATCAGTGATATATACAAATCATGAACTTGTAAACTTTCTCCTGATTATAGCCTAAGAAATAATAAACGAAAATCTTTTCCAAACTAACACGGCCAAGAAACAAAAGCATGTGTTATTGCTTGTGGGGGTGACTCATGCCGAGAGTATCCATCTAATAACCTCTCGTATACAACGTGCCGAATACCCTTGGCGACAAGACCTACTACGTTGTATAGAAGCACATATGCCAGGAAATATCTCGTAGCCAAGCGCCAAGTTACTATCAAGGTACCTGCATACAAGAGCCGAGTTCCGAATAACAAAGAGAACTATGTGAAATGCGGTCATTGATGTGCAACAAGGAACTTGGCGACACTGACAAAAAATCGCCTGATGTAGAGGGCATGTAACTCCATGACTTGTTCTCAGCAAATTAAATTTCTCCGAGGTATCCTTTTTCTCATAAAATCTCAAATGGTGCTAAGTTGCCAAATTACAAAAACACAGCCCAGCGGGCGATGCCGTGATTAACAATTGGCGATCAGGCACTGCACAGCCCCCTTGGCCGAAACTACCGACCTCCCTTTTTCGCATTTGCGTCTTTTTATTTTTTCATGAACGGCACGTCAAGATCCGAAGTTGAATGTGATTTTATATGAGTTGTTCGATGAGGCTTGGGTCTAGACTCTGGGCGATATCGAGGACGCGTAAGCCCGCTAATGGAATAAGGGAGAGCTAATCGTGTTATACCCGGCGTATATGCACGTATACATAAATCTCCCCTGATATGGTATCGGGACTTATGGCCAAAGAGCTGTCTTGCTCCAGGTGTTCTGGGCAGGATCCAAAGTGTAGTTCACTCGCTGGTGCAGACGATCACCAGAAGCCTGCCAGAACTCAACCGTCTGCGGCGCAACCGCATAAACCACCCAACCCTCAGAACTAGGCTCCTGTCCCTCAATCTCATGACGTTTCACGGCTTCCGCCATCTTGGCCTCCAGTTCATGCGGGTCATTAAGTGGTTCGCTCTGCCTCGACACCTTGGCAGTGATCTTGGCCATAGCCGACCGAGCCGTCCAATCCTGCTCACACTCATCCTTAGGCAGGGCATTGGCTTTTCCGCGTAGACGGATCTGTCGTCCGATTTTGGGCCAGTAGAATGTAAGCGCGACGTTGTTGTTCGATGAGATCTGGCGGCCTTTGGGGCTGGTGGCTTTGATGGCGAAGTGCCAGCCGCGGTGATCGACGTTCTTGAGGATTTGGACGCGCGCATCGGGGTGGCCTTGATCATCTACCGTTGAAATTGTCATGGCGTGGGGTTCGGGGACGTTGGACGAGATAGCCTCGTCGAGCCATGTCTCGAATGCTTGGTGAGGGGTTTCAGGGAATGAAGTGAATTCTGCTTTGGGATGCGATGCTCCTTCTAAAACAGGAAGGGCGCGAAGCTTGGCTTGAAGTCCGTTGCTTGCCATTATGTAGGGTCTTGGAACTTATGTTTATGCGAGCGGAATAAGTTAATCAAGCTGGAAGGACACGGGTATTTAAGAGTAGTTGAGATATTGAATGTGACTCGCACGCCTGATTTGGGAAGTATCAAAGACGATCACTAATCCGTATCTGATTCATCATGATCCGGTATCGGATTTGATACTTTCATGAATCAACGCACTCTATAACAGGACGATTGATCTAAAAGATTCTCGTATCAAAATTCTTTAGGATAGTTGTAGCTGGAATTCTCTGTGAAAATAGGCAGACTATGGTGGTGCGGGCTACACCCAAACGGCACGGTTACGCATCCGCAACGTATTCAAGTTATTGATTATCTGACGGTTCCTATATCACTTATTATGGGAAAAGGAAGTAGTTTATTAAGGGCTTATCTTTTGTCCGACTTATAGTATCGGTCCAGACTGTAACTACCCAAAGTGATGAATTTGATGTCAATTATGCCAGCAATGCAAGACACTTCACAAGTGAGAATACACCTTAACAAATGAATACATGGAAACAGTGACGTCGATTCAATTACAAGTCATTTTAAAGCATCGGAGAAACCTCTATCCTTTATTTATTTCTATCTTTAGCTTCCGATCGATGCTTAACTGTCCACTGGTTGGTCCGCTTGCACGATATGATCTTGTTAGACGCTAAACAGGCTTCTTCGATATTGAGCGACAGGAACCATTCTCAGTATGAGATGGCCCTCCGAGTTCAGTTGTACCCAGCGGCGACTCCTCATCAAAAGCGCCTTTACTGCTTCACTAACTTGCGGAGAGAAGATTCAATCTGACTCTCCTTATCGCCCAGTCGTCCAACCTCCTTGCCCTGAACCCCCATTAGTTCAAATCCACAGCTATTCCAATAATTTAACTTACATCTTTGTACTTCACGACCGTAGGAACGCCATTGACATTGTACGGAGGAAGGCGATACTTGTTCTTGGGAGTAGCCCGCCACTCCTCACGCGAACCCACGCGGACAATGGAAGCGGTAGGATCAGAAGCGCCGCCAAAGACAGCCTTCAGTGCGGGGAGGGCATCGCGGCAGTCGGGACACCATGAGGGCTCGCCTGAGGCGAAGTAGACGACGTAGTGAGTGTCGGTGGAGGTTGGTGGGGTGTCGGCGTCGATGAGAGGCATTTTGGCGGTGATGGTCTCTCGGGGTTGAAGAGGAGGCAGAGGAGGTTGATGATGGGTTTTTGGTGCAGGATTGAAGGATTAAATGGATGGGAGTCGAAGCTTAATCGCCGTGATATGTCAGCCAAGATTCTCGACCAAGACGCCAGGTCGCAAAAACTTGACCCGGCTTTGATGACTAAGACAGTGCGTGAGCCTATTAGCACATGGTGATAGGTTCAAAATTAGTGGCAAGTGACAGTGCGCTTATTTTTCTGGTACTCAGATATACATTACAGTTCACTCTCGCCAGTCTTTATCAATTGTCCGCCTGCTGATCAATCGTTATGCACTCATATTTCTAACATTTCAGTATCTGGTTGAGCATCGCCGTGCCCTCGGCTACATACACTGGCACAGTGAAGTGAGCGGGGCTCATCGTATGACGAAAAGTCTGAATGAATGTCGTGACTGATGTTCCTTTCTTAAAGACGCATGTCATCTTCACATAATCTGTCAGAATTCTGCAAGGTCTCAGCGTATCGATCCAGATCACCGCTTGATTCAAGCCGAAAAGAGTAAGAGAAACAAATGGAACGCATAAAAAGATCTTGCATTTCAGAAACATGTTCGTTCATTTCGTCAGTGCAGCACCTGCCCACGATCTACATGGTATATCATAACTCATAATCCTCCCATCACTTAAGAAGTCTCCAAGACCCAGTCTCAGCCCAAATTCGGGCGTACCACTGATGCAGCTCCGTCATCCATCCAGGCATGGGACCCTTGTTCCCAGCAATCTTGCCCTCGCTGGAGAACAAGACACTCTTGAGCCTCAACTCAACCTCCTCGTGCGTCTTGTCGATGGTAGCGCTGATCTGGAAGAGACCATCAGACGGGCGCAGGGGCTGGTTGCGCGGCGAGTCGCCGCAGCGCACGGTGATGGACGTAGGAGTCTTCTCAACGACCTCAAAATGATCGGTGATGGCGGTGCCTTTGTCATAGTTGCTAGTAGAGAGCTGCTCATTATCCCACAGCTGCTGTTCAGTCTCAGGACCTCGCCACTTGAAATCTAGATATCGACGCTGGATAGCGAAGCCTAAAACGGTGAGCGATAACTCAAAAACTCATTGCGACAAAAAGGCTACTTACCCCAACCGCTCCAAACTCCACGACAGAACTCAAGCGTCAAGTCATTATTATTCTGCAGCAATTCCGGACGAATCTTGTCAAAGGGAATGCGCTTGATGACGACATCTTGGGTAGCAGGATTACCGTTCGGATTAGCCCTCCTAAAGAGTCGAGACGACCAGATGGGGTCGTTGGCGGGGAGCGGGGAGATGACGGGGTTTTGAGAGGCGAGGTACGCGGCGGCTGTGGAAGTGCCCAACAAGCCGGTGAAGACTGTTTTTCTGGCCACGCGGAAGATGCCCATCGTGAGTGAGTGGTTTTGAGGCAAGGTGAAGTGAAGGTGAAAGTCGAGATTTGAGGTTGAGAGAGATAAGAAGCGCGTTTAATTTTCGGGTGGGTATTTCATGCTTGTGGGTGGATATATGCCCCCTTTTTGATTGGTCGGGGGAGAATGCATCATGCGACCAGGTGCATTATTGTGCATAAAAGTGGCTGGGAATAGCATCAAATCACATGCTTCAATACAGTAGCTTATCATGCATTTCACCGTCATATCATACCTCAAAGACTTTCGTCTCACTATCAATCGTCGAAATATTTCCCAGCTAGTACTCAAGCCAATGCATTCTATGCTTAACCCTGTTACTCCCAATTGCCCTCATCATCAAACTTGACCAAGTTCCCACTCAACAACGCATGCTGAAGCGCTCGACCGATATTCATAACCTGCATCCCTCCCTCTATAGGCAGAGGCACCGGCTTGTCCTTCAACACCGCATCAGTAAATTCATTAGCCTCCAACGCAAAAGCATCCTCAAATCGCTGCCAATACTCAGGCTGAACCTCATGGCGAACGCCGAGCTTATCCGCAAGAACAACATTATTAGCCTTGGGAACGACATTGACTGAGATCTTGCCAGTCTTTCCGGTGATTTCAGTACAGACATCGTGACCGTGGGCTTGAGTTCGAGAGCAGTAGAAGTAAGCAATCTTGCCGCCCCAGAATTCGACTATACCGACTGCATTGTCCACGTCGTTGAGATCTTTGAGCTCAGGATGGTGTTGGAGAGTGCCGGTTGCCCAGCATGCTTTAGGGATGGGGTTGCCGAGGTACCAGAGAGATAAGTCAATGTCGTGAATGGCGCAGTCGACGAAAATACCGCCGTTGCGAGAGGCGTAACGAACGAAGAAGCCAGTTTCGTCGAGAAGATCACAGGTATTGGAGCGGACCATAAATGGCTCTCCGATGGCCTTGTCGTTGTGAATCTTTTTAGCTGCATCGCGGTATGAAGCGTCAAAGCGGCGAGAGAAACCAGCCATGACTTTTAGGTGAGGGTTCTTCTTTGCTGCATCAACGACAGTTTGAGCCTATCCTCATGGTCAACAAGTCTCGGCAAAAAGATTGAGTCGACACATACATCAGCCATGTCAGTGCTCAAAGGCTTCTCGCAAAGGACGTGCAGTCCCTTGTCAATAGCAGCAAGCGACTGGCTGGAGTGCACATCAGTGCTGGTAGAAACCCACACAGCTTGGAGTCCAGGGTGATTGAGCATCTCATCGTAGCTGTCATAGACAGAGATATCGAACTCTTTATACTCTTCGTTCTCTTTGGCCCACTTGACTTCATGCTCCATGGAGCTGCATACTGCGACAACTCGAGCACGAGGTACCCTATACAGAAGAGTATGAACGTGTCGCTTGCCCTATTTCTAGTTAGCAAAATAGGTATAGAGTGGAGGAATAAATATCTACCATTCGGCCAAGACCAACAACCGCGATGTTTAAGGTCTGAGACATAGTATATGGTAAATAAAATAAAAAGGTAAATGGAAGGCTGTTCTGTTGGGCTGGGTGAGGATGAGGATGGCGATGAGATGGAAAAGAAACTGACCTCTTTATGTATCTGCCTTCTTCATACCTGTTGTGTAAGAGCTTATGATCATCTTGCAAACCATCTCCGAATATCTTGTCTTGATAGACATGATCGCATTCAAAGCCAACAAATAGTCACCTATCTAAGGAAGTATCGCCGACTTTCCGTCGCCGTAGCTACTATATGAAGACATTCCGTGGCGCTGGCTGCTTGATTAGGTAGCTCAGAGGTGAAGGCTAGCTTTTATTGGCAAGAAGCGGCGATTACGCTCAGGATTGCCGCATCTGGTTTTTTAGTCCCAACATAAACGTCGGAACAAAACTCCGTTACAACACGAAACCAGACATTTAATAATCTGCAACTGAGCTTGTATGAAAGTTGAATAAGAAAGTATAGTCAGTACCGGGATCAGTTTAAATCTATTAGACCCAGGAGCTTTTGCGTTATATTTACTTTAAAATCAAGTTAATACATTGATTGTTACAGTGGCGTTTTATAGGATCAAGGCTTTTGAAATTGACGAAAATAATATATTATTCATAAGAGGGCTATTATGCCTTTCGCCTAGAGGCACATGAGCCTGTGTCGTTAAATAAAGCAGAAACTAGCATTTTTGTATTGTTGATATTTAAACTAGATATAGAACATCGTGTCCCTCAGCTTTTGATGGATTTGTACATCATCAGGACTTAGCTGCCCGCTTCCTCCAGCTGCCGAAGTTCCAGCCACGGACGGGGCTGCACTCGGCGACGGCGTGTCAAAAAGACCAGCCAAATAGCACCGCGCGCGCTCACACGCGAGATCAGCATAGTACGCCGGGGGGCATAGACTAACAGCCTTGGTGGCGCGGCCGAATAGGTAGCACATATTGTGTGTGAGATCCTCCACGATATCGGCGATGCTCTGGAAAGGAAGTGGAATCGAATTCGCATAAATCTGCCGGAATATCTCATCATGCACGATGTAATAGTGACATGGGCGTGCGGTCCCTTGAAGTGCAGCGTGTGCCTGCAAGAAGAAATCCCAGTTCCGCGCCTCAGTCACTCCGCGGTCGACGACGGTACCAGGTTTAGTATTGCCAGACCTATCGCAGTCTTGTGCAGTAGTGGGATAGAATCTCGTTTTGTGCCGCTTGCCGCAGACTATGATAGTGAAGCGTGGAAGACCTTTTTTGGTATCAGCTGCTGGGTACATCTGCTCGCACGCGCGGCGGAGTTGAGGAAGCTCTTGTGAGATAACCATGTCATATTGGCCTTCGGAGACTCCGTCGCGGTATATGATAATATTCTCCGGGAGAGCGGCGTGCTTGCCCTTTGTCTTCCAGAGGCCAAGGCGCGATTTAAGCATCTCCGTGAGATCGTCCACGTTCTCTTGTCTTGCGCGCTGTATGCGCAACGTTGCGGGCCATTGACCTAGGAATTTGTCAATGGAAGACACCATTGCAGAGACAGAAGGCGCGTTGGAAGACGAGCCAGGTGAGGGGTGCGTGACGTCGATGCCGACAACCATTGTCTTGTCCTGGTCGATGATGCCGAGATTCTTGTTCTCCACCCTCTGATTGATGCCGCCAAGCTTGAGATTGAACTTCAAAGCGACATTGTTCATATATTGGTCGCGACCGCGGTCTTTCGCCAGTTTGGAACCCACGGAGCAGATAGTGTGGATACCATAGTTCTTGTCGGCGATCGTCTTGATGCGCTTGTATACTGGCATGTTTGGTCCGGGCAGGATGATGAAAAGTAGATCCAAGTCTCTAGCAGCACGCTGCAAAGTTGGGCCGAGCGCGGGATCGTCTTGATGTTGAAGTTGGAGGCGTTGACCTGGAAACGGCTGAGCAGTGTTGACGCCGATTTTCTGCAGGGCGGCGTGGAACTCATTCATAACGGCCCGCGAGCTTTGCTGGTCGAAAGAGTCGCGCATCCCAGGAACAGAGATCATCAGGTATGACCATTTGGCAAGGGACGCGCCAATGTTAAATCTAGTATTCGTCATGTTCCAACTACCGAAGCGGAGATCAGCGGCCTTGTTGTTTTTGTAAATAACCTTTGGACCAAAGAGGATGCGACCTGGAACTTTGATGAGTCCCGGTGTGATTTTCAGACCGAAAGAACGCTAAACGGTGTCAGTATGTAGTATACAAAATTGGAGCGAAAACGTACCAAAAGTACATTGGTGTTCTCATCTAGACCAACAGTCTTCACACCCTCGCTACAAATGGAGTTCGCATTTTCCCATGGCTTTCGAACAGCGTGGCGAATCATCTGTTGCGCTTGGTTCACGTTGAGCTTCGACTTGGAGGGCTGACCTGGGAGGACAACGCAGACCTCTGCCGGGAGATACATCGGATTGTTCCGGTTGCCACAGTTAACCAATGGAAGTTGCGGTTCTCGTAGAACTCGATTGTATGCTGCGTCACAGTCAGCGATAGTGTATAGAGCGGTGGAGAGTGAAAACAACTCATTCTGAAAAAGTCAAGCACAGTGATATACCTCCCAGGGGTAGAAGCTGCCGAGCTCTCTGCCTGGGCCTTGCCCTTCCCTTTACCCTTCCCTTTGACGCCTCCCTTGGCTACCGGCTTGGGTGCGGCAGTGGTGCTAGCTTGACCATCGAGCCAGAACTCCACATCTTTGGCACCCGCCCCGTGCTGTTTAACGCGCGGCGGGTGGGCCAGACCATGTCCGTCGTCTTTCCTGGCAAGCCCGAAGATAGTCTTGACGCGGGGAATAACTCCGTTCGCTTTGTTACGCTTCTCGGGAAGATGCGTTGTCTGGATGCGAACCAATTTGAGAAACCTTTCCAACATGACGGTGCTGTAAAGTCCGTAACTTCTCATGAGCTCCGGTAAAGGAACAGCATGATAAAATGCTCCATGGCTAACATTGATGTTGACAAGAATGCGACAAGTCGCTACGCGCACGCTTGAAAAGAAGCCTCGAATGATTTCCAAACCAGAGCCGATGTCTCCTCTTGCTGCTTCACTGCTGAGAGAAAAGCTCTTTGTGGATCCAATTGTGACGAGGTTCTTTGCGGATTTGGCGTAGTGGTTCAAAAAGATATTCAGAGCCTGCGTCAACTCCTGCTTATCTACCAATGACTGGCTGAGACTCGTTGAGTTCAGGTAGTTGACCAACTCGCCGACATCCAAAGTTTTCGTATATTGCACACGAACCTTGTATACGGTAGCCCTAGCAGTCGGTTCGTCTTCACCTTCTGAGCGATATGGAACCTCAACGAGGACCTCGTCCTGCGAAAACTTTGTTTTGGAGACAAGAGTAGACCTGAAATCCGTTGCAATGTCGCCCTGTCGGGCTGCAAATTCCGGCGCCTGGAGGAGTAGCTGCACAACCCGGAAATGTTTCCTACCGACAACTACAGGGCTGACCTGAATATCGTATCGATATAAACTCAAGGTCGAAGGCGGCAATAATTCGACGTAGTTTGCCGTAAGTTCAATCTTGGTGCCCCTAGTGCCATATCCCGGACGGCTGGGAAAACCTTCGGTTAGCTTCAGACTATCGAGATTGAGCCTCTTCTTTGTCGCTGGGTGCAATGCATCTTCGGCGTTTGCAACCCGGGAGTTTTGGCCTTGGGAGTTGCTATAGTATCGACACAATTAGCATTTAGTATGACACTAACTTTGCTCCATATGGTCCTTACGGAAAGATCTGGATAGTTTGCTGACCACCGCCAGTCGGCCTCCCATAACCTCCTCTTCCACCTCCAGCTTGTCCCCTATCTCTGCCAGTATCGCCCCGAAAACTACCGCCGCCCCGAGGTCCATAATTGCCCCGGTCACCCCTCCCTCCGCCTCGTCCCCGGCCTCCACGATCTCCGCCACCTCTGTTCCCACTAGACATATTATTAGATGGGTAAGCTAGGACACTAAGAAATGTATAGAAGCAAAGTGATCCGGAAGAAGTCTTTGGGGATTGAATGAAAAAGAGAGATGCGGGGTATTGGGCGACTGCTATTCCGGGTAGTGGCTATGCCCAACAGCTGTGGCACTCTGACGTAACTTCAACCCCTCTTGTCAAAGCCCAAACAGCAGGCCACTATCTCCAAACTCTCTACTATTATTGTCCAAGCCTACCTTAGCTGGTACAGTTATCTAGATCTAACTGAGGTTGAATTCCCTACTCGCCTGTCGCAAACGTAATTTAAGCGCGGCGAATTTCCCGTTTGCGCTCTTGAGAACGGTCTTCCAGGTCAAATATTCGTCGGGTCACATGCTTATCAAACATGTTCTAGATATTTGCTTATTAGGCATTACTGCATTCCAACTACGATATGTTATTGGCTCAGCTTTCACTTCCCCTCCTTTTATCAGGCAGCAATTCAAATCGTACCTCCTGTGACTTTTCACTCTTTCGTAATATTTCTTTTCCAAGGCCTATTTTAAGTTGCAGATTTATGGCAATCTTCAGGCCCCTCCGCCGCGGACTCGCAGTATCGAGTAAGGACAGATTTTCCTTGCCTGACAACAAATAAATAGTTGAGCATTCGGCTAAGCGCAAAATCAATGTCAAAACGTCTCTTTACATAATGTTTCGCCATAGAAAAGGGTGATCTGTACGAACGAGTTGGGATGGTTACCATACGGGGCGGGTTTGGGTCTCATTGCAAAGACGAAAAAGCACCCGCAGAGCTAACTATGTACAAAGACAAGAGTGGAAGATGGATGACCCGGACAGCAACATTTTATCCCCATGATTATATCTGGCAGAAGGATCTGGAGCAGAAGACTACCGTGTTGCAATAGAACAGGTTATGGGACAATTTCAAGGACAAGAGTCGAGGGCTAGTTAATGGCAGGGAACTTGAAGATAAGTAGTATTAAAGAATTAAAATTCATCAATCATTGTGCTTAATGTAAGTTATTGCTTTTCTTAAAGTAAGACATTTACATGAGGACAGGCTTAGCTAATTAAGGTGAAGGAATATCAAGTTGTAAGGTAGTATATAACAGAGTCATTCTAACATAAGAGGAAGGGTGTATCAATACAACACAATACGTAGGACATTATCAGCAAATACAATATAACTTCTCTTGAGCCGATGGAACTTGATTTAAAACTCGCTATGACTCATAATATCGCTCCCTCAAAGCTTTAGGTAACGGCCAAGCCTGACAGTCCTTAAACATCTGAACTGTTTTCTTAAGTGCTTCTTGTTCCCACGGATCAGTGAAATAACTACCATACATCTGAATAGCCAAGATGGCATTTACGAGACCTGGCTGTGTTTCGGGGTGTTGGACGGCTGTACCGCAGACTTGGAGGACTAGGCTTCGCACTTCGCCTTCAGCTTTACGGTATGCGGTCCGGACATCTTCGGCTTTCCTGGGGGAATCAGTGCATGGATGGGAGGAGGGGCTGTTGGACTTACGAGAGGAGAGGTGACTCAGCGGTGAGGATCATCTTTGCTATCATCATGTGTTGCATGCCGGTAAGGGCGATAGGCGATGCATACCACATCGTTGGGAATACCTCTCCTAGAACCCGATCTGGTGGTCGATGAAGAATGGGCTCGAAGCGGCCTGTCACATATTGATCTAGATATTCTTCCTGTTCTTTGAGTTTGTCTGCGCATCGAGTTGTTAGCAAGCGAACCCTATAAGAACTAAAAAGCACTCACGCCATCCACTCTCCGACTTGTCATCAAACAGCCATTTTGTGACCTGACTTGTATGGAAGACGATCCTATTCGCTGGCGATATATCTGACCACTCAGCAGGCGGCTCAACCATCTGGGCTGGATATCCCTTCCGAAGGGCGTAGTAAACCTCTTGCCGCAAAGCAACCCAGTACGAAGCGATAAGCAGTTCTCGACGGTTGATAAGATCATCTGATGTTAAACTCCGAAGAACAGCATTTAGGATTGCGAGGAAGTTGACACCTTCGTCTGGACGAGTACCGAGAGCGGGATCTTCATCTTCGTCATCGAGCTCTTCAAAGTGACGTAGAATCACAGCCGTCGTAACTATCAACTCTCGTGTCTCCCCATCTTCAGTAGTGTGAAAGTCTTTGAGGACCGGAATGCACTTGAGCATATACTCAACTGCAGAATGTGGACTGAGATTCGGCAACGGTTGACCACGATAGACTATTCCTCGGGGTGTTTTGTATTTCTCAACTCGACACAAATGTCGTGCCGACATTGCCAAGATGGCGTTGAGTAGGGGAGGATACCTTCGGGCTCTCTCGGGGACGGTGAGCTGATACCGCCGTTGAGGATCGACTAGATCGAACTGTAAAGCCATCAGCAAAATACTGACGTGGTGATGCTGAACTCACCCAATGTGATAACTCTTCGATAAAGTATCGTAATAGACACGCTTCTTGAACACCCTCCAATGGCAAGTCTCGTTGATTTGGTGGTTCTAGTGCATGCAGTAGACCGCCCCAAGAAGGGCCGCGCTGAGATAGTGCCAAAGGATGCTGTGAAGGATGAGTTTGAAATACTGGTAGGGCTGAAGGTTGCGAGTGCCCGCCACGGGAAGGGGATAGACTTGTTGAAACGGTCGAATTAAAATATGTTGAATCCCCCATTGCAAGTCCAAGAGGTCCACTAGATGTTACGTCGATGTGTACAGTCGGTCGACTTGTTGTGTTTGTTGCTAAAGACGAACCCTCATCTGCTAGAGCGATCCTCTGTGTTGCCCGACGCGAACTTGTTTGAAGACGAACTGTTGTCCAATTAGCTATGTCTTCGAGAAGCTTACAAGGCAGGCACTTACACTCCTTGGCACTACTGTTCACCCAGTTCTGCGACCCTGAGAACTTGGCATCGTACTTTGCTGATGAGCCATCTCTGAACTGCCGATCTCGTCCCGCTCGGATACAGTCTAGCCCTTTCTTGAGACATCGCGTACATACAGCCTCGTCACCAGCGCCTGGGACCTTGGGTTAGATTTTGCTTCTAGTTCCTGGGCTTTCTGACTTCTACTTGACTGAAGTGGACGAACATTTGAGGTGTTTGCCTGAAATTGGCAATGTGCATTAGTCATTTGGGTTTCTATCGGGTTGCTCACTTACTTTTGCATTCTGTACAGGGGTTTTTGGGTACAGGCATGTCGATGCGGCTCAACTAGCGGCCTCCTATGTCTAGCATAGAAGAGAAGAGTAGGTATCGCCGATCTGACACTGAGGGGCGGGGTTGGCGAATCATCGCCGATACATTCCCGAAACGGTAGTCAATCGACGCTAGGTTGAATCTGGTTGCTTTTTTACTGCAACGAGACATACTTCCTCAAGAACTATATTAAATATTCATACTTACTGCGATAGGATGAAATCTTGGAATATCTCAAATGTAAGGCTCATGAGTGTACATAGGTATCAAACTTTAGCCCATCGCTGGCATTGCAAACGTACAGGCTCAGGTTCAGGTGGACGATCAAAATGCAAGGCAGACTGAGACATCACACAGCCTACCAGCATATTGAGACAGTTGATTGGACGCCTCATGATGTCAAGCGATAAATATCTTGATGCCTAAATTACATTTCACCGCTTTTTGAGCCTCTTCGTTCATCTTCCAATCTTTTCAAATCCTCACGGCTCTGTGATCACTTGAGAGTTCAGCATATACTTCCAGTAACCCGTTCACGATTGCAATCAGCAAAGCGACTTCCCTCCTCCTGGAAGCAAAAATGGCTCCTCCTCGAGACAATTCGGGCCAGTCAGCCCCCCTAATGTCCCAAGACCTGCAGTCTAGTACTGCTGTTGGGTTCCAACAGCAAGGGACAGTGGACTGGACCAGAGTAATGAGCGGGAGCGTCACATTCTCTGTCGACGTACTGTCACGATTGTCAAAGGCAGGTGTAGAAGCCTTCACCATCTATGCCGCCAGGGCAATCTTTTCCAACGTCAAGCTCGGATCAAATGGCGAACTACGTCTTCATCAGGCCCTCGATAAAATCACTGCTTTCCCTTCGTTTGGAAAAGCGCTCTGGTTTGGGTTCGGGGTAAAGCATATCATATGGAGCATGCAGGAATCTACAGAAGGCTTGAACTGTCTTGGTATCTGTGCCTGTCTGACAGAGGGATTCTCAACAATCGTTGCCGCCAAGGTTATACGAGAGCTCTTCCTGCTATATGACCCACCGTCAGAGCTTACCCCTGCGCTGAGACAGTGGATCGCACTAGTTGAGTCCTCTGGGGGACTGCTCGCCTCGTCGGAGTTCGGTTTGGTCTTGCATGGTTTGACCAAGCTCTTTCTCAGAGACAGCATATGCAACTTGCAAGGTTCTGGACCGCCAAAGGACATTGCGCTAGTGCTGAAGCAAGTCTTCGAAGTCTCAGCAGGGCGCCTTGATCGTCTTTTCTTGTCAGGTGGTACAGACTGCGCTTGGGTTGCTGCAGTAGCCCACTGGCTTCTGGACCTCCGAGTCGAGGTCCAGGACCAGGATGGCACGATTATCTATCGACCTGATGGCACAAGAAGTCAGTCCTCCCCGGATGCTCAAGTTATCGTAACTTATCATCAGGGGCAATCTCGTGAAATACTTCAGGTTGACCGCAAACACTATGTCGTTCGGAGCGGCACACTGCTATTCAGTCAGGCACAATATCAGGATCTTATGTCATATGGCAGAGTTCCATGGGCGAGCTGTCTAGTTGATACCTTTGGTAGCCCCATGAGGCTTCTTCTAGGATCTCAAGCTCGGGTTACTGGGGCCTGTCTGGGCTCTGCCGCACGCATCTTCCATGCTATTCTGAGAGATGGCGAGGGTCACATGGAATTTTCACTTATGAGTAACCCACGACGCTGTCACCCACCAATCTTAGAATCTAGCTATGGGAGAGGGTTTTATCTGTTGGCTCGTCGCTTACTACCTGAACTCGGCGAAAACACAATCCTGGACCGGTCCATGGAGGCGGCTATGAACAAAGGATACGTAGATGCTGCTCAACAGTTTTGTCAATCTCTCACTTCATTGCGTCAGCTATGTTCATGCAAAGTCTGTCGTCCAAATGAGTACGATGAGGGAGACGATACCACATTCTGCCTGCTGAAACTGATCCTAACCGTCTGTACACTTGTTAGAGCTATGTCGGCTATCTGCATGGAGCAAGAGCTCGAGATTCGACCTACACGCTCGGGTTTGGAGGGCATATACCACAGACAGAACATAATCGCGTCACAATTTGACCCGGTCGATCACGGCTTAATGAGATCGTGGCCCGCTGAGGGTAGTCTCATGCTAGCCCAAATGCTTTTCGCGGGGCGGCAACACGACAGGGACATTGGCATTGTCGATCCTGTGGCAACCTCACACAGTGGTCTTTGTTTCTCCCTCAATACTTTGATGGACATCACATCCGATCCTCAGAAAGCTTGTGTCGTGAGAGTTGTTCCTGGTAGGATCCAGTGGAACAATTCCCTGTACGATATTGTGTCTGATCAGATTTTGAAGCAGGAGGACACAACTGAAAGGACCGGATATGATGCAATTTCTATGAAGGTCGTAACGAAATATGACGACTGGGATTATGCTTCAACTCCCGGCCTCAACGCCGAACTCATCGTTGAAGAGAACATCTGGGCGACCACTAGCATTTCTGCCACCTACAGAATTACAAGTGCAGCATTTCCCGGCCGACATTTCTCGGTAGGAGCCTCACATATCTGGCATGAGCTGAACAGCGCATTTACGGCTGCAACTTGTGAAGGCAAAGTATGTGAATCTCTCAACGGATTTCAGTCCACCGTAATCCAAGGGGATGGGCTTCTTACGTTGACTGATTCGCCGGCTTTGCTCCCTCCGATCATACGAGTATTACCCACACAAGATCTCTCTATCTGGGTCGCTCTTTCGCAATTGTTGGTTCCGAAATCCGGTGGGGATATGGTGGCTTTACACCATAGGTTACAAGGTAAGCAGTGTGTTCGATGCTGCATTCTAAATACGGACAAGGAAGCTCAACGCAAGATGTGTTGTATATCCATAATCACTTCTTTGTGAAGGCTAAGGCGGGCTCCAATTGTGACCCAAGATATTCTTGACGGAAATGAGTTGACTGCTGCTGCAGATAAGCAGGGATGCCAAAAACTCGCGTACTGGGTTGTGAGTGAATTCGGGTCGTTATGGAGTACAGAGGCACATGCCTTTAAGGGCTTGATATCTTACATAGAGATACAATAAGTTTGTACTATCTATTGAATGACCCGGATAAGGCGTCCCCGTTTCCCTCTTCTTGGTCACGCAAATGTAGGTCCGTCGCACGCCCCGGAGCAAATAGCCCTCAGAGGAGAATTGAAATTATTCAGTGAGCAATGTGAGTAGTGCTGAAGCAGAGAAGCAAGGCTATGTGTCTTGGTCTACTGATTCAAGGTCGCCCGTGGTATTGTCATTAGGTACGAGAATCATATAGCTGATAAACTAAAGAAAACGGCCTGGTATTCGCCCTTCTAGGCCTGTTACGCGAAGGTCCCGCTGCACACCATAACCCCCACTAAGTCAACATCCAAATCAATAGCACAAAGCTTGGCCTTGGAGAATGAGCCAAACAGTACAAGCTCCCTACCAATTAGACCCCGCGGATAAACCTCCTTACCTGCTCCAGCGGGTCCAGTTCGTCTCCCGCACCCGCGGCCTATCGATCCTTTCCGAGACTAAACCCAATGTAGCAACAATTATAGATTCGCTATCACGACAGGCGATGTCGTTATCAGATATTGTCGGGTATCCCACTTGTTTTGGGCATGAGACAATCGCATCCCCGTTATTGCGAAACAGTAATTATAAGGCTTTTATTGGTCTGAACAGACGATGTGTTGCTTCAACTGGAGGGTTGAGTCGGGGAGGCGCCGGTAGTATTTAAGGTACTTGTTTAAACCTGGAGTATTGACTCGTAGTTCGGCGAATTTGTGGAGGAGAATGGATGGTCTTGATGGAGATGCTGGATGGGTTGTTGCTGAGGTCGTAATAATCGTTGGATGGGACATCAACCTCAAGATGCATCTAAAAGACTGGCCGTTATATGGCACTCAGAGCACGCGTCTTGAACGACACTGTTATCTAGACTACAAATTTTGCACCCTAAAATCCAAGCAAAAACACCCCCGAGTTCATTTTCAAGCTACCGAAGTGACACAATGCACTACAACGTTATACAGCCCCCATCTATGCCAAGTCTGGCCAACCCTTTCTCGCCACCAACAGTTATCCAAGTCCGTAAACAAGGCTCATCCCACGCGGAGATCCTACCTTTTGGGTGGATGTTCTTTTAAGCATGCGACTATGTCTTCCCAGCTCGGATATATAGGGTGGGATTTCCAACGGGGACCCCGAGTCTTGGTGCAGTCATGTCAAGATCCTCGAGAATTGTGTCATCCTGCACCACCACCACCACGCGTCGCACAGACAATCCATGTTTATATAACTCAATCTCTCGTCACACATTTTACCTCCCCTCATCGGCAAACTATTCTACTGCCTTGATCAGATTATACCGACCGCATTGGTTTCATTCGGTAAAATGGGCTTCTCAAACTTTTTTGAAAGCCAGAAAACCACGGCTACCGTCTCGACAGACCCTGAGGCTAGCGACTCCGAGCCCTCGGTCATTCACGATGGCGGTCTTGCGTACACACGCGTCAAAGGTGGCAATGGCTCTAAACCTTCGTACCAAGAAGCTGTCGGCGCACCTGTTGAATCGCACTCACCGCTTGGATACAATGTTGGTTGGCTCACGGTCATCTTTCTCAATGTCAACATGATGATTGGAACTGGTATTTTCTCAACACGTAAGTACCCTTTATACCGAAGATGGGTATGGTGACTGACGTGGGACAGCATCGAGTATTCTTAACCGCGCCGGGTCTGTCGGTCTAGCACTGATCATCTGGTTCATCGGCTTCGTCATGGCAGCTTCTGGCTTCAGTGTTTATCTGGAATTGGCGAGTTACTTTCCTAACCGCAGTGGCTCAGAGGTAGTGTATCTCGAACAAGCGTATCCTCGCCCTAAGCACTTCTTCCCTGTCACTTTTGCTGTTCAGTCGGTCATTCTATCCTTCAGCAGCAGCAATGCAGTCGGTAAGACACCTTCATGCTCCGAGTAACGCGTTCTGACAATCTATAGTTCTGTCCAGGTACCTTTGGCGAATGACTGGCGAAACTCCCTCCGAATGGCAGATGCGAGGTGTCGCTATTGCAGCTTATACCCTTGCCGTCATCTTTGTCATTGCTCATAACAAGTACTCCCTCTGGCTGGTCAACTTCATCGGCGCCTTGAAGATCCTCACCCTCGTCTTGTGAGCACCTTTCATCCCTCAATACCCGTCACCCCCTAACACGTCATGCAGCATCAGCATCGCAGGTTTCGTTGTCCTCGGCGGCAACGTCAAGCGTATCCCCGACCCCGGCCATAACTTCCGCGACGCCTTTGCCGGTGCGACCCCGAACGGAAACGATCTAGCAAGTGCCCTCGTCAGCATCGTCTTCTCATACGCTGGTTACTGGAATGCATTCAACGTCGTCAACGAGATCCAGAACCCTATCCCCACGCTCAAGCGAAACGGTACTATCTCACTTACAGTCGTCGCTGTGTTGTACATGCTTTGCAATATCGCCTACTTCGCTGTCGTTCCCAAGGAGGAATTCGCTGAGGCTAGTGAGATTGCTGCTTCAGTCTTCTTCACCAAGCTCTTTGGAGACAGCAAGTCTGCGGCCAACGTCCTTAACTTTCTTGTGCTCTTGAGTGCCTTTGGTAACCTTCTTGCTGTATTGATCGGATCAGCCCGTATGCTCCGTGAGATTGGTCGACAAGGTGTTTTGCCTTGGACTAACTTCTGGGTATCAACTAAGCCTTTTGGTACCCCGATTGGTCCTTACATCCTTAAGTGGGTGTTAACCTTCATCATGATTGCCGCGCCCCCGGCTGGTGATGCCTTCACTTTCGGTAAGCAGCCTCGCCCTATTGGTATTCTCTGATACTGATCGGTTTCATAGTTGTTAGTCTGAGCACATACCCCGATGCCATGTTCAGGTTTGCCATGGTTTTTGGTCTCTATGTGATCCGCCGCCGCCGGTCAAAGGCCGGTCTTGGTCGTTCTGACTTTAGAGCCTGGCATGCTCCTGTCATCTTCTACCTCCTCGTCCAGGTGTTCATCCTCGTCATGCCTTGGTACCCTCCCAAGGGCGGCCAATACGCCGGTGATGTCAGTTTCTGGTATGCGACATACTGTGTCGTCGGTATTGCAATGTGAGTTACGAATTGAGAATATCACCATCATCCTTTTTACTAACAACAATATCTAGTGTCCTCGTTTGCGCCATTTACTACGTTGTTTGGATGTTCCTGCTGCCCAAATGGAAAGGCTATGCTATCCGTACCGAGATCACTAATGTCGATGACAATGGAGCCAACACTCACCGACTGGTTAGAGTTCCCCACGCTGATCTTCCTCGATGGGATGAAGAACATGACGAGGCTGGCAACCTTCGCCAGAGAACAACTATTGTGGCTCCCAGCTCAGAGGGATCCATCAAGGCTTAATTGGGCCATAGTGGATAGTGGATGGAGATATGAGCATCAGACAGCACTAGAAGAGTCAAGTATATCAACAAAGATATTGCATGAACAAGATTAAAACAGAAATGGGTATTATTCATATTATGTCTATCATCATTATTCTAAACGAAAGTAGTCTATTCCGCGGCGTTGCTGGCGCAAGACCATGGAGTTTTGCTTCCTCCCTCAGCGATGGCTTCAATAGAAGCCCAGAGTCCAAGAACACAGATAAGGAAGCCAGTAAGGAAGAGGATGACGTTGGCCACAAATCGGCAAGTCTGCTTTCCATCCTTGAACCAGTTTCCGTAGTGCATCCAAAGCCAGAAGATACCAGGGAGTCCGTAAGAGAACCAGGAGGCGAAGAGGGCACAGATAAGACCAAGAAGATTGTTAAAGACAGGAATGGATTCGGCGATGACCATGGAGAGAGCCCAGATACCGAAAGTGACACCGAACCAGACCATGGTAGACAGCTTTGTTCGGCGGACCATGTGCTTGGTGTTTCGGAAGATTCGCTGGAAGATGTAGGCTGAAGCGACGTGACCGTAAATAACACCAGCAATGACGATAGTGGGAATGGCGATACCCCAGATGACCTTTCGCATAGTATGAGAGCCAGCAGCAGACAAAGCAGGCGAAGGAACATCAGGTCCGACGAAGACGTAGATGACGATAGCAGCGAGTAGGTAGAGAGTAGTGTCGACGATCTGGAGGAAAGCCAGAGCCTTGGGCCAATCTTCGGGCTTCTTGAACTCAGAGATGACAGTGAAGAAGCAAGAGTGGCTGGAGAAGGAGATGGCAATGTTGGTGACAGCCAAGAAAGCGCCAGTGAAACCGAGCTCACGAGCAACCTCGATGCTTCCAGAACCAATAGGTCGCTCATGCGCAACATCTCCGACAGTGATGAGAACAGCGAGCGTGATCGACATGCACGATGCCATAGACATGTAACTCGTGTACTTCAGCGTACGCGGTAGGTTGAGAACCCAGAAAACCGCCAACCCCACAACAGCCCAGACGATAGTGCAAGTCGAGCTATTCGTAAGGGTGTTCAGGCAAATAGTCCACGTCAGAAGATGGCTTCCCATGACGAAGACCTGGAAAATAACCTGCGCCCAGCCAAAAACCTCTTGGAACACGCGACCCATTCCGATGGATTTTCCAATGACTTCGACGGCGTCGCCAAAGTTTTGAACGAAAGGGTATTGGGCGCGGAATTCAGCGAGGACGAGGCCGGAATATGTGGAGAGGAAGCCCATTACGAGAATGAGGACTATGCCGGGGACGAGACCGACGGTGGCGAGGACGGAGGGGAGGGAGAGGATGCCGAGGGATACTGTCTCTGCGATGAGGACGATACCGCCTTGCCTGTAATTTGTCAGTGTCTATATGAGATTGGAAGATTGCGAGTTAACATACCACCACGTCAAGGTCTTGTAGTCAATAATCTCTGCTTCCTCATCCCCCAAAACAGCATCATCATTTCTTGGCTCAGGCACAAAAGCTGGAGGAGCATTGTTGACGCCCTTCTCTTGATCCTCAGGCGCCGCAGCGCTTTTAGGTTCTGTATGGCTCATGGTGATATTCGCCCGTTAAGTTGGTGGCGCAAGTGTTGAAGAAAGAAGAGACTCAAAAGTGTAAGTTCAATTGACGCGACGATAATTGGAACAGCAGCCGTATTTAAACAAATTCCCACTCTGGGGCGAGAAATGGCCGACAACGGTGAGAGGAAAAAATGTCTTCATGTTTAGTTTAGCTTTTGAGTCAAGTCGGCCCACTAACATTGGAGGTTCTTCGGCCTGGCCCGATGGCGTCGCGCACCGAATTCGGGCAATAGAAAGTGTAGAGTGGTAAGAGGATGGCGGTTAAAATTAGTCCATCCTTTATTGGGCGAGATCGGCTGACGCTGGGAAAAAACAAGCAATGGCCAGATCTGTATTGCTTCAATGGATTTGCTAACTTTTACGTTATGGTCCCACAAAGAGTGGTCTTTTCTCACTGAGAAACCCACTGCTCCAGACTCTCTAATCTCCACGCAAGAATGAAGGGCCAGAGGGTCAGAGGGTTTCCCCAGACAAGAATAAACCACCGAGGAATTCCCATGCTTCATCTTGCAGTACCATGTCGTTGCAATGAGAAAGAGCCTCGTCGTAGCCGCGCGCTTCTTTCAGCTCAGAATTTTCAGCCTCCTTCGCCCAAGCTACTGCAAGTTTGTTTTGGACGGGAGGAACTGACTGCCGGAGTTTCTAGCCGACTTCTGGAACAACAAGAGATTTCTAGCGTCGAGTCTAAACCGAATGCAGGATGAGTCAGGGACGGCCAAGTGGATACAGGTTGGGCGCCGATCGCGCTCCGGACTTGGCGCGGCTTGTGAAGCATTGGAGCTCTTGCGAGTCCCGAAATGTCAACAAAGACCAGGTTGATTCCCCGGATAGCTAGGTATCGTAAGTAGACCTCCAAAAATAGCTGAAGAGTACAGAGCTTAACTATCAAGGCTCTTCTACAATAGAAACAACCGTCGATAGGACTATTCGAAAAGGAGACAATCATGACATGTATCGTTTGTGATGAAATATTCTACCAGCTCAGACTTAGTAACTGCGCGCAAGATAACATTAAGCCATGCTAGTAGAGGAAGCTAGCTACCGCCTTTGAATTTGACATCTCGGTATTTTTTGCCTAATTCTTGCTGGGTTGATATGTAATAAACCGTAAGTTCAATGCTAGTCATGTTTATGACTATAGGTTAAGCAATATGAAGAAATAAATTATCATTACTTAGAATAGACTTAATTACTAACCTAAAAGTAATGCACAAGTTTTAGTCAAGTGAAGAAAATCTTATCCTAAGTTTAGCTAAATTTACATAAAATTTCCAAAGCTTAGGGTATGTATCCTAAAATCTGTAAATAAACCCTAAAACACTACTACCTCTTCTTCTTCTTCTTCTGCTTCCCCTTGCGGCCATTATTTCTAGTTCTCAAATAAGTGCCATAGGTCAACGGCCAAGGTCCCCGAGACTGATTCTTCACCCAAAACACGTTGATAGTAGCCTCAAATTCGGCCTCCCATCCAGGAGGAATCAATCCACATTGCACAAAAAGATAGAATTGGTCTCGCACCCAGCCACCGCAACCCCTCCCTGACTGAGTGAACTCATAACGGTGATTATCAGCCCGAACAATTGCATCCAAGAACTGGCCTACAGTGTGGCCAGGCTGCGCAGGTATGCTGACCGTCTTGTTCGAGTGACGTGTGATGCCGTATGGATGACGGATGATATCGAGACGGCCGAGGAAGCCTACGCGGCCGGGATACGCGCCAGGTACGATTTCCAAGCGGATTGATTTTCTCGGAGCAGTTTGTAGGAAGATGTCCCAATGATTTCCGCCGCCTTCAACGACGGTATGAGCCACGAAGTGAACTGTTGCGACAACGGAACTGCGGATTTCGTTCTCTGCTGTCTCGGGCGTGTAACTTAGAGGGTTCAAGTTGTGCATTTCGAAGTTTGTGTGAGAAGGTCCAGCTTCACTGAAGGACCGCAACCCATATTGAAGGTTGAAATTGGAGGGATTTATTAACTGATTGAGAGGATATGATAAATGCTGATTGGATAGATATGCTCAGGTGGTTGATATCATAAAGAATCTTGATCAATGACACAGGCGTTCATCATCCTTTTATCATCATTGGCGTCGTTCATTCTCGGTATACTTTTCAATACCTTTCACTGATAGGCGCGCGCTTCCTCCAAAGCGCCCTGGGCAATTACTACCATATATCACCAACAGTCCTTCACTGTAAGGGTCTTCGACCATAACTCGCCAAGTAGTCATTGCCAATAAAAGCCATGTTTGCGCAGGTACTTGCTGGTGACAAAGTTAAACTTTAGGCAACAGACAAGGATGTCAGAAAATGAGTTTTCACAGATAGCCACAAAGAAGCCAGTTATAGGGTTTCCAATGGCCGTCTTGGCTGGTCTCAAGGGCCAACAACGTTTTACCCAAGAGGAAGGGCGAATCATGAGAAGTTTTGATAGCGCCGCTCAATTCGCCTGCAACACAGTTTGTAAAATACGGCGGTTAAATGTGATTCAATGTAGCCGCTTGTGGCATGATTTCTATTAATAAGATTGGCCGGACTACAAAATCTGTTGGTTCAGTGTCAACGACAATCACATGGATGCCTGAGGATCCTGGATCGTCAAGCCAAGTTCATGTTACCCGATATTGACCCGGGAAACTGAACCCCACTGCCAGCCAGCTTCTGCTGACTGGGAACAAACAACAATAGTGGCTGGTTGGAGGGCTCGTGAGTGAATACCGCTTTCTGCTACATATCGACCGGTGCGAATGACTCTGTCGTCGCTGCACTATTAGTTTCGCTGAGATGGGCTGCTCTTTGTCCAAAAGTCCTGGAACAGAGTCACAGAACGCGAAGACTCCGCCCAAGGTTCCCGCGCCTGGTGACAGACCGTCCTTCCCCCAACCATACCAAGACGTAAGTTAAGAACATGTCTGAATGCAGCATATGATATTTCTTGAAGTACTGACTCATTAAAAACAGCCTAGATCGATTGAAGATGACAATACATTCCCTCTCGATGAGCGGGACATCACCTCGGTTTCGGACGAGGAACTTTTATCAGCTTTCTTGACAGCGCCACGCCTTCATGACTATGGTGAGGTCATTATACCGCGCATATCGAAACATCTCGTCATCAAAGGTGGTCCAGGCGTGGCACAGAGCGAAGCAGAAAACATGAAATTTGCTCTGGAAACCCTCAGCCTACCAATACCCAAGGTTCATCATGCTTTCACCGCTGAGATCCCAGAAGATCCAGATCTGCCCGAAACGCCCTTGGTAGAAGCCCATTTCATTGTCATGGACTATATAAAAGGATTCACGATTGATAAAAGCTGGCAGTCCCTGGATATGACTGCCAAAGAAACTGTCGCCCAGCAGATTGCAGATGCGATTGAGAAGATGCAATCTACGATACTCAATCACATGCCGGTAGGGCCTATTGGGAGATCCCAGGATGTCAAATTCCAAGGCCCATGGTTCACAGACTATGGCGCGGGGCCTTTCGACACGCTCAAAGAACTTGAGGACTGGTGTAATCACAAAATCGATGTCGGAATCATGGTCAAGCAACTAAAACCCGAAACGCGAAGATTTGAGTTCAAAGATGTCGTTCTTACCCACCAAGATCTGGCGTTGAGAAATTTGGTCCTCGATGAGGACATGAAGATTTGGGTCATCGACTGGGGCTGCGCTGGTGTATACCCGAAAGGTTTTGAACAAGCAGCGCTGCAGGTTCAGGCGGAAAATAATGAGTATGCGGATATGGTGCTGAAGAGGCTCTCTGATCGACAAGATATTGTGATCGATCAATTTGCTAAAATCGCATATGGGCTCTCGACTGGGCGTGCTCTATAAGACGAGATCAAGAACAAATTCTATGTCTTAATGACGTACATATAATGAAGAGATGAAGATAGAATGGAGATTTATAGTTATTAACCACTCTATAAAGCCGTTAATGTAACGAAAAATAAGTCAGGCCCAACGTAGATCAAGACCCCGATTTCGCTGCGGACTTGGATGAATCTGGGCATTATCATGCGATCGAGTGGAGTTCTAGTGTAGGGGTCCTCGGGGAAGCTAGAAGAACTCCAGAAATCAGATTTGGCCGAGACCAACGACCCATTGTCTGTGCTGACAATGAGATGGAGACAACGTGGGGCCAATATTGAATCCGATCACGGCAGTCGTTGCCTCTATATCAAGTCGACCGAGCTGCATACTGCCGGAGATTTCCACAAAGCTTAACTGCAAAGCCAAGACTTGCCGAACTTCAGTACTCCCTAGGTGCGTTTGGTAGGCCTGTTTAACCCAAGCTTGTACTATGTAATACTAGTCAGTGTCGGCAATCTACTGACCTTGCCCAACGGGAATGAGTGGATATCGTATAGAAGCGATTGACAACTAGCTAAACATGCACAAATCACATTCAAGAAGCACGAGTCTCAGATTGACATAGATTGTAACGAGTGTCCATTTTTGCTATACTGGCTTAGTATCCTCCACATCTCAGCATCTTCTTTATAGCCCAATTCTCCATGTCTTTGGCAAATCTGATATTTAGAGGTCATCATCACCAGTCTTCTTGCAGCAGGTCCAGCAAGGGTAGTCTCCGTCTCCCTAGAAACTGTTAGTAATACGTTCACCTTGATCAATACCAGGTAGCATACAAATTTCTTAGAGTCCTAACCGAATAGTTAGCAGCAATTACTGGAAGAGAAACTTTAGGTTCACTTACCCAGCCTTCGGGGCACTTTGGCTCCTCGGGCCAGCAGACCTTGAGGCAGACCTCGTAGTTGTTGACGTTGATGACGCCCTTGTGGTTGGGGGTGACGGCGTGGTTAGAAGAAGGCTGGGAGACCTGGATGCGGAGGCTGTACAGGAAGGGTTAGTATTGTGAAGTGTGACTCAGTACGTTGATTTAGGATGGGACTTACGTGATCTCCTCGCCGTTGGACTGCTTAGCGCTGAGGGAAGACCAAGGCATGGCAGCGATGCCGTTGGCAAGGAGGAGAGTGGAAGCGATGGAGAACTTCATTTTGGAAGGTTGAAAGTGCAGTAAGGTAGTGTAGTGTAGTGTGAAAGAGAAGCTGTTGAGGTTGATGAGATGAGAAAACTGGTGAACAGACCCTCGTGCTTTATAGGTTTCCCTTTCACCCAAATCTCAACGATCATCATACTCATCATCAAGTCTATTCACATACTCTGTACTACAGGCTACCCCTCATGGACAACTAGCTATGTCTGAACTGTCCTTGATTTACTTACCGATGGTCCGTATGTCTTACCGGTCTGTTCTAGGATTGATTCTCCCTGCGCTGATTTTATGCAAGGAGGATATAAGTGGTGGTTTGCTAAACACGACGGTACGGGAGGGGAGCGGCTTGATCCCTGCTGTAAGACATGGATACGAGCGATCGACGGGCCGGTCTGACTTTTGTACGACCTTCCGATAGCCTTGCTGCCTCTGGTCTCGTCGGATGTCGCAGATGGATGACCGTGGTGCTCGCTGAATTGAGACGTACAAGGTACGTCTTGTCTCAAGGAGCGGAAGTCACCGTGAGACATGGGTGTTCCATCTTATTTACTAAAGATTGGTTACGTTATGACAATGTTGAATTTAATTGTTTGCTGTTTGATGATTTATCTTTATGACGGCCGTGAAGTACAGTCTAAGCGCATTTGAGAAGACAGGTTGGGCACATGGGCGTTAGTATGAAAAGAGACTTGGGCGTGGACGGGCAAATCATCTCTATGCCTCTGTAATCTCTTTGGAGGCGCTAGAGGATCGTAGAGCTATAAGTGAATATTGGATCTGTCTCGATATTTGCAAGCAGGACGATCATGATGCCACATCGTTCACTGGACATGTCGCACAACGCGGGGTTCGTATTTGATCAGTCATGTACCGTTACAAGAGCTCAAGCGAAAGTGTTTCGATGAAGCCGCTTGCATCGGAGGCTTTCGGAGCATCTGAAGTTGGGATATCCAGACTGCTCATGCCCCGTCGCAGAATTATTATTCAAGACCCATTGTCTTACTAAACTCCCCATCCAAGTCGTGAGGCACGAGTGAAAGGTTCAGTTACACACAAAGGCAAGAGTGATACCGGCGACGTTGTCTCTCCGGAAAGCCGGAAAAACAAGAGGAATTTGTATGCCGTGTCTCACTTACACTGCCGTTATGCAAGGACCTCTATCCGGCAGTGCAGTCGTAAGAGATCAGCTCTAATGCAGGGATGATCTTGAATCTATGACATAACTCTATACGGGTCGGGGACTTTCGCTCAGCTGGATAGCTCCGTGAGGCGAGAGAAGAAAGCTAATGCAAGGAGGCTCACTCGAGATAGCCATCTTCAAGGATTGGAGCTGAAGCGTGTCTGAGACACGAGGGACCACTACTCGAGGCCCGATCCATTTCGGTTATCGAAAGACAAGACTTGCAGGGCTCATTGCTTTCGTATTCTAAATCCCTCTGGAGACAAACTCCTCGATCGATTCCGCTCTCTTTCCATCCGCTCCTCAGAAGCTTTGATCTTATCCCCAGTTTCAGGATCCCATATCCAGCCCTCTTTAAGCCACATCCACCGCAAATAGGCCCTCAACTCTTTATCAAGTGGCACAACCCTTTTCCACTCAGGCTCAAACCCCCGCACTGCATTCAGCCCATTCCAATTATCGGCTAAACCCCTCAGTATGTCTCGATGAAAGATCCGATAGCTATCAATCGCGTACGGACCAAGGGACGGCAAATGCGCCACTTCCCAGCCCTGTCTCACATCATCCTCATCCAAGACCTCATCCCTGCCAATGCCCAAGCCATCGCCCTGCAGGGGATAATGCAGCTTTCTGTACCGCCTTGATTTATGAGGTTGTTTGTCAAGCCATGTCTTGGCGAAGGCGATGAACCGAGCGGCACGGGAGTTGTAGAGTCCTATTGGACGGATGAGATCTGCAAGGTCGGAGAAACTTGCTTCTGCAAGGTGAGTTGGTGTTGGGTACTGAGATATGAGCTTTTGGAATACAGGGCGGGCTTGGGAACCTCGAGTACGATTCCAGAGGACGGCTGCGACGAGGAGTTGGTACAGATCTGTTCCGACGGTTTCTTGGATCAGACCGAAACGCTCCTTCGAGATTGGAGGGATTCGAGATGCCGAGAGTACGACTCCTGAGGGGACTTTTCGTGGCACTGTCTTGCGTTTCTCAAACTTGATGACTTTTGTGTCACTCACATCGTTCTTGACCATGGACCGTGTAACACGACGATGGCTCTGTATAATGAGATGCTCAGGTTGGTTATCCATAGCTGAAATGGAGGACAAATAAAAAAAATTGTACAAATGGCATTTCAATAGTCCAATTGCTTCACAGCATGCTGACATCATTGAAGAGTGATTTCAATGCCGACTTCAGTAGAGCTAGGTCCATGACGCAATGGACATGCCAGGACATATCCCCCGCACTGAAGAACGAGGCCAGCCACCAGGTGAGACAAACAAGCAGTCTTTGTTCAACGTAGATCATTATAGTCATGAATCATGTGTAACGAGATGAAACCTTTATTGGAATTTTGTGCATCGTTGTACACGTTACACGGTCATAATTGACATTGCATCCCCACAAACTGGCTGTTCATAACGGTGCCGCTCGTTTCATAAGTTTTATGACTCTTGACTAATTATGAATACGCCACTAGATCACGAACCTAGGCCTTGGTGAGTCTCCAGTAGGGCTTAACCTCTCTAACATTACCAAACTTCTTCTTCGCATCCTCCTTCGAAACGTAAGGCGGAACAACAACATCATCGCCAACCTGCCAATCAATCGGCGTAACAACGTCCTTCTTATCTCCAGTTTGCAGAGAGTCAATAGCACGCAGAACCTCGGCTGAGTTGCGGCCCGCTGAAGCAGGATACATCATCGTAAGTCGAATCTGCTTGGAAGGGTCGATAACGAAAACTGAGCGGATGGTGAAGGCGATGCCCTTCTCTGCGATGTTGTCATGGTCTTCTCGGCTGATCATGTCGTAGAGGAAGGAGACTTTGCGGTCTGCGTCGGCGATAATGGGGAATTGGAGGTTTGCGTTTGAGACTTGGTTAATGTCGTCTACCCACTTATCGTGAGAGCTGAGGTCATTGGCACTCTGAACAGTAGGTCTTAGTACTCTTCCCGCCAGGAAAGCTGGAATCACTTACCAGCCCAATCATCTTGACTCCTCTCTTGTCAAATTCCGGCTTCAGCTTCGTAAAGGCACCGAGCTCAGCCGTGCAAACGGGGGTAAAGTCTGCGGGGTAAGAGAACAGAGTAGTCCAGCTAGTATCAATGAACTTATAAAATTTAATCTCTCCATAGGTAGTAAGGGCCTTATAGCTAAGAGCTATTATAAAGAAAGTATATAATTTTACTATTAAAGGCTATATAAAATAATAGTTAATCCTAGTTATAAATAAGGCTATCCTTAAGTTATTATTATAAGGAACCTATATACTAGGGGCAGTACTAGGGGCCATATAGTAGCAGGAGCCTAAATGGCTTTTTTAGGAAGGGCATATATGCTTTAGATACCTTAGGGAATAATTAATGCTATATTTTAAAGCCTCTAAAAGATCTAGATAATTACTACGCAAAAAATAATAATCTAATCAAAAGAATATCTTAATAAGTATTTTCTGGATATTATTAAGGAGAATAATTATATAAGGCACTATATCACATTTGCTTACAGTAAAGGATTAGTTTACAAGTAGTAGAAGGTTCTTATACCTTAAAGTACGGGACTAAAAGCTGCCCCTGCTTTATTTCCTAGAGCTTTCTCTATTAGATGACTGATTTTTTTTTAGAAATGAATGCATTTCTCCCGGCTGGTGCTCTCAAGGCTTTTATTTTCCAGGCAACGCCCAAGCCTGTCACCCAGCAAGAATCTATCAGGCATCCTGAAAAAGTTTAAAGCTAAAGCCAATGGTATGAACATCAGCGCGATATGGGTTAATCGCCTGACGCTAACTGCTTCTTAGATCGACCGTCGTAAGTCCATAGGTTAAATTATGGATATAGCAACTATTACTGGTTGCCAAAGAAATTGAGCATAATCTTCTAGATACTGTCCCACATATTCCATATATTTCCGAACCATCTACGGCTATTTGACATTCTTGCGTCCCAAGAAGAGCTAATGTATATCATCTTTGCTTACTATGTTTACTTAGTACGACGACAGCTAAGTTCTGCCTGCTGATTTAAGCTCTTGGCCAACGGTTAACAGCAAACAACACAGGTGGCTGACAAATTAGATATCATAGATAAGCAATCTACCAAATTTATCATCAACTACCGGAAAGTATCCCAGGTTTGCCTATGTGAAACACCGGAAGGTCAACGACTTTCATCGCGAGGCCTCTACTCGTCAAGAATCCTTCCGCGAACTATGCGATATAAATATTATGTCAGGTACCTGACCGGTCTAACACCTCCTCTTATCGAACTGGCTGCAAATTTGCAAAGCTTCCTGGCTTAGTTACGCAGACTAGGGTCGATTCCACACATGAAGAAAGAGAAGCGTTCATCTGGTCTCGGTGGACTGATGAATGTCAATTTATTCGTCAATGATTGGGGAGTATGACTCTGCCAAGAGCGGCGAGGTCTTGGTATTGGCTTACGTGAAGATCGACCTGCCAAATAAGGAATTATCCAAGCTGCATGTTCTATTCACAATCACAATCACATACGACTTCACTCTCACCCTTTTTCTATTGCTCTGGACGTAAATGATCATTCTCAACCTCTTTAATCCAGCGACAACGGATCCCTTTCTGAGGCAAAAGCGAGCGGATTACCTACGTTGACAACTAGTACAAGAAAACAAGGGAAGAAGAGATAAAAGACACTTCACACTAGGATTGAGAAAACAAAAGTTGGTAGTGCAGAGATTTACGGCTGAGCACACATTACTCTGGAGCTGAAATGTCGTGTAACACACCTGCAGGTTTGTGAGACATGATAATATCACGAATGGAGCAGTAATATCCGAGAACCAAGAAGAGATTCTTCATCAACTGCCAATTTACTTATATAAGGACCTTCCAGTCTCCTTATGGTTCCCTTGCGTTTTCTAACTCGTAAAAGAAATCATCAGTTTCATTTTTGTTTATTGGACCGTTGATCAAGATGTCGCCCAGCTTATGCCGGATCCTTCTCCTCCTCCCCGCTCTGGCGATTTCGGCTGCAGCACTGCCACATGCCCCAGCCACCCCTGAGCCGATCGTCACGCCTGTCGAGTGTCCTCGCCATAACCCTACAGTTCAGGATGGGTCAGTCTACCCCCTGTTTTTCTTTCGTTGGGTATTCAAATTACTTACTCGCCTGCAAGAACTCTCGTCGACCAGCTCTGGACAGAAAACTGTGATCTCGTGACAAAGTTTCTTAGCAATGCCTTCACCGCTGCCCAAGCGGCGCAAACCTCTCAGGGGACTCTAGAGTCACTGCAGTATTATTTCGTAGTACGCATTTGCGATGCCGATTGACCTGCATTCACTGAATCTGTTGCAGCAAGACTATTACTATCTCACCTTGACTGTCCCTCACAAGGCGTATCTCTTGAAGTCTTTGGACCCAGATGATTCTGCCGCTGATCAGACATCTGCTATTAACGAAACAGTTCTGGATATGGCTGGGGACCTCGAATACGCAAGCAGTTTTCTCGTGGACCTTACAAGTCCTGATCATCTCAACGTAAGCAGCGCCGTTGTCAAGAACGCCAAGCTCGAGCCCGTTCTACGAGAATATGTCCATTGGCTGGGAGATAATACGAATCTCGGCTGGTACCTCTGGAGTATATCAAGACTCCCCTGCATCTACGTGAGAGCCTCATGGTAGTGGTGCAAACTGATACTAACGTATTCAGGGATGGGCTGAGATTGCGTATCAGCTAAATCAGTCGTCTAGTACAGTGAGAGGTCCGTACATGAGCTACATATCAGGGGACAACACCAACTAATATTATCAAGGGACTAAATTCTTCAACGAGTGGCTTACCCCGAACCTTGAATGGAGCTATGGAGCTAAGCTATCCGGTGAGATGCGAGTGATACGCTCTGGTGATGACCTAGCTAACTGGGAGCAGTTGAGTTGCAGGAGGTGCTGAGCGCCAACAACAATACTGCGACATTTGCGATTGCCAATGGGCTCTTCCGCAAGGCCCTGGAATACGAAACTGCCTTTTTTGAGAGTGCATTGGGAAAGATTCCTAAGAACTGAAACATGCCTTTTTGGCTGAGGATATCTGTCCTTCCATGCGGTTTGAGACATGGCCACAATTTTACGTGGATTTCGCTTTGGTTGCATCTAAGGCTTGCAACTTCGCTCTCTGCACCATGGCAAGTGGTATTGTCTAACTGTTGTATTATGCGGTGGTACTACTAGCTTGTCGCAAGCACAATTCATTTGTGAGAGTCTGATTTTGAGTTAATAGACCTGACAGCTGATGCTTACATCACGCACCTTAGTCGTCATGTGGATGGATGTCGACTATTTGTAACAGAGATGCGTAAATACATACATTATACTTGGTCAGCTTACAGTTTGCTCCCCATCCTGAGTAAATCGCCCGTATCAACCATGTTCACAAGGGCTTTGGTATTCAGTAGTCCCGGATGAGCCTCACTCAACCTTTGGATTCCACACAGTTGCATGACGTTCTCCAGCTCGTCTCGCAAGACTGATGAGATCTAATTAGCTTCAGTAAGATTGGCTTTGAGTTCTCTTACTCACTGTTCATCAGATGGCGCACTCCATCTTCTCCGTACATTAGAGCATAGAAGAAGGGTCGGCCAAGACAGACTCCGTGAGCACCGAGACAGATGGCTTTGAAAACATCTGTGCCTCGACGAATACCTCCATCAATGAAAACACTCATCTGGGACAAGAGCTGTGGACACTTGATATTGATCTCCGCTAAAGTCAGAAGCGTTGGTTGCGAGGTGTCGACACCACGTCCGCCGTGGTTAGATATATAAATTCCTTCACAGCCACTTTCAAAGGCTTCCATAGCATCTTCGGCACACTGGATCCCCTTGACAAAGATTGGTATTCCCAACGTATCCTTGATTGTTTTGACATGGACCCATGTGACGTCTGGGCTGATTGCTGCGCTTGCGGCGCGGGATTGCTTGTTCTGCTTCTTGTCCTTTGGCTGGCCCTTTCCCTTCGCGATTCTCATTTCGTAACGCTCGTTGGCCTCCCGCTTACTAAATACAGGTAGGTCCACCGTGATCATGACAGCCTTCGGTGAAGCACGACGAATCTCGTCCAAGAGCTTGGCCAATGCTGAAGTATCGCGGGGAATGTACAGCTGGAAAAAGGAGGGATGGTTCTGGGGCAGAGCCTCGACGACCTCGCCCAGCGAATACGAGGCAAGGGTAGGCATTATAATAGTGCTTCCAGACGCTGAAAGTCCTTTTGCCAACCCAACCTCGGCCGACGGGTGCGTCAGCATAGCCAAGGACGCAGGAGCGTTGAATATGGGGACGTCAAAGCGGTGACCCAGTATTACTGTGCCTGTATCAACCTGGCTGATAGGTCTACAGACTCGCGGTCGTAGAAAGACTGACTGATATATCTCAGCATTCTTGGACGCTGTGTAGCAGTCATTGGAGGCGCCGGAAACGTATACCCAGGATCTTCGTTTAGGCAAGATCTCGCAGCATCTTCAAAGTCTTGTAGGTTGATGATGGATTCAAGAGGTGTAAGACTTTTTACGACCTTGGGGTTTTCCAAAGACTGCTGATCCAGAGCTGGTGCCAATTCTGGGATTCTTCCCATTAGTTTACTGGCTCCAAAATAGCCCATTGCAAGCTTTGGACCATGGACGGAATTGTAGACTTCAGGAGCGTCTTTTCCGTAGTGCTCCGTGATGACATCTTCACCTCCTGGGTGCATTTTAGCAAAGCTAGTAACGTTCCAGACATCTCCATTGATGATAATCCAGGCATCGGTGGCATGTGTGTGGCGAGACACCTCTGCTTGCGTCAAATATTGGGGAGCCATCGTGGATATTTTGACAAGCCAAGACATAACAGAGCTGTACAGCGCGCCATTAAGTGTTTTAATAAATAGTACTTAAGGGGGCTTTGCTCTGTAGGTTCTACGTCCACTTGGCAGGCGCCCTCCTATCACACGGTTGCCAGATGACTGCATTGCACCCTCTAATTACCTGCTAGGTGGAAGATTTACTCTTCTGGCTTTTCCTTATATGGGACAAATAGATAGTGGTAGATATATATAAAAAGGATATTATTAACAGGTCTTTGTTATAGATATACTGCAAAGACTTAGTAAAACATGTTTAGGCAATAATAAATTTATAAAATTAATTACTTAAATAGACATTTTATTATCTTTATAAGATAATTTAAAGAATAATTAAAAAGAATAATTAAAAGCTATTTACGTTTAAGAATACTAAGTAATAAATAAATAAATAAATAGAGATAAATTAATAATTTAAGTTTAATAGTATTTAAGGTATTTTAATAGGTGGCTTGTAATCTATAACTATTGGCCTCACTAATGTACCTTATGTATATCGTACTCTCTATTTACAGCATTGGCACTATTGAGTGTTAACTTATGCCCAACGTTCAAGACTTATCAGACTTACGGAAACAGTTCCAGAATCAGAGCCCTGGTCCTGCGTTGATGTACAATCAGAAGCTGTTGCCTGTGTACCGCATACTTGACCACCAGCAGGCATAGTGGCGCAGAGTGAAAAAGGAGACTTGTATACCCTGTAAGCTAGAGCATCTCCAGATGAAATGGTGTGTGTACTTACGCAAATGGCAGATCCTGGCGTGCAATCCTTAGCAGAGACAAAAATAAAGGCTGTCGCCATAATGAAGATACCGGATGGCCGCATGGTGAGGTGACTAAGTTTAGGTGAACTATCGTATATGGTTTCTTTTGCGTTGAGACTGGATCGATGTGATGGGGGACGCTGAGGTATAAATACTGTTCCCTACCCAAAGCTTACCGCCTTTCCCAGAGTTGTATCAGGATGGACCCAGTCGCCAAAGTTAAAACTGATCATTTACCCTCGCGAGTAAAAAAGCATCAAATGACAAAACTTAGAAATACGGACCCTGGGGTCGGCAGTTATTCCCATCGCTAGGATTACGTGTCAGGGCTCGTATTAATGGAAATTGGACTTTATGCATTTATATACTTATAACAGACCCTGGTAAAGTTAACTTCTATAGTATAATGCTTTACAGGGGCGAGGGATATCCGCGTCTAGAGGCACGCTGGCTGAGGAACTCATCAGCAGTTCTCTGAGCCTTATATGAACAAAACCTTTCCCGTGAATTGCATCGTTGAAATGCTTTTGCAAATGATACATCAACTCTTATAAATCAACTATTCATAAGAGCTCTCAGAGCTCATTCCGCACGTCGAGATTTTGAAAATGAAGGAAGCAATTATTTCCCAGGGTATGAGCCCCTTCTCATGTTGGCAAATGTTCTTATCTCATCTGAAACAGGACCCCAGGTGGAAATCATCGAGTCTCCGATCCCAACTCCTGCCGGAGGCCAAGTTCTCATACGGGTTATGGTTTCTGGCTCGAATCCCAAAGACATCATGTCAGCGTTCTGAATACCACCGCAGAACTTTGGCGACAACATGGCGGGATATGTTGAGTCAGTCGGCCCCGGCGTTTTCGAGTTCCAGCCTGACGACTTGGTTGCTGCATTCCACGAGATGTATACTCCTCATGGTTCATTTGCAGAATATGCCATTGCCCCTGCCAACACTACGTTTCCTCTTCCGCAAAACATATCTTTTGAACAAGCTGCGACTGTGCCGCTGGCCTCCATGACAGGTGCGGTCGGGTTGTATCAATCCTTGGGCTTGCCATATCCCTGGGTTACAGAAGAATATATATCGGATACCACCGCTTGTTTTTTACGGTGCCGGGGCCGCAGTTGGGAATTTTGCCGTTCAACTCGCCCGCAAAAGCCAGCTTCATCCTCTCATCTGTGTTGCTGGGCAATCGAAAGATCATGTCGAAACGCTTATCGACCGCAGCAAGGGAGATACAATCATTGACTACCGTCTCGGACCCGAACATGTCGTCGCTGAGATTAAGAAAGCTGTAGGCGGGAAACCTCTATTGTACGCGTTCGATTCCGTTGCTGAAAAGGGGAGTGACAAGATCTTGGGTGCTGTTATAGACCCACCGAATGGAAAGATCGCCATGGTTCGGCCCAATGACCGTACAAAGATCTGCAAGACACCTGGAGTGAAGATGGACTTTTTCACCCTACCCAAGATGGAAGGGGTACCAGAAGCAGTTGAGGCGTTCTGGACCGCTGTGGGCTCTGTCCATGGAGCCGACAAGCATTTCGGCTTTGTCTTCTCTCGCTACATTGCCCTGGGTCTTGAGGAGGGCTGGTTCAAACCGCACCCATTTGAAGTCATTCCGGGAGGTCTGAATGGTCTCACAGATGGTTTGACAAGGCTTCTTACTGGTCAGGCGCATGCGGTAAAGTATGTATACCGGATCGGGAAACATGACTGCAAGTAGGGCTTTTATCTAGCATTTGACCGTAACCAATAGATGCCCATAGCTAGCGGACAGTATGCTATGTACCGATTCAACTTGAAAGCTGGAGATAACCTGGATAATGCTCGTACGCTCATCTATTCTGTAGTGCTCACCTGTCTGCATCTTGAGTTGAGAGTCCATTCAAGGGATGGTGTCTAGATAGAGTGAGGAGGCCCGAGGCAAACCAACACGTATAACTGAGTTCCAATTGAGTGAGTGCGCAACTTGTGATGGCAACAACAGCTTCGGCCTTGAAATATGCAAGACATATACCGAGATCACTATTAAAATATCCCAAAGTGTCTCCAGCTTTTCAGTAGCCTCTATCTAGGCAAATTCTGCTCGGGGACCAGGAGTTGGATCGACCGCCGAGATGGGCGTGTGGACTTGATACTTGTCGAGCACCTCGGCCACTTCGACAGCTTGAGTATAGTTATGGGGAGTGACAGTAACGCTAAGTGAGTGTTGAATGGAAGCTTTTGGCTTTTGCAGCAATAAAAGTTACAACCTGAAGAGAATGCTGTTGTATGGGGAGAGTTACCTTCTGGCTTAGAATCGTTATCTTGAATTTACTGTCAGCCAGAATTGCCAGTACAATGGCACTGCCCAGGCTACGGGTGCCTCCAGCGAGCAATGGTAAGAGTCATATTAATAAGACCGATAAGGTTGTGTTTTGGTAGTGCAATATAGCTTGTGATTATACCAGGCCTTCTTGCTTCGCTTCATTCATAAGATTACCAGATTAGTGATCAGTTGAACTAGCTATTGCTGCTGTAGGACTTTGTCTGACAAATGCTTATCAAAGTCCGCTGTTGAAGTCCGCCATAAAAGTCCGAGCGTTCTAGATATAATAGATAGAGATTCTCGGAGTCTGCCACCACCCTGAAACCCGATATCGAAGTACGCAAGATCAAAGGTGTCGAGTATGACTCAGATGCATGTGCAGCCGATATCTGTTATGAGAACCACCAGCACTCAATAGCGATATCCAATACGACTAGATACCCCGTGTCGACCACTACTTAAGTCGATTATCGGGCGCCAGCACATTGAGCAGAGTCGTCTCTATAAGCATATAAGACTCGTCCCTATATGGGTATAGAGATCCGTGATTCGCTCAACCCTCTCACCGCCCTAATTTAACACCTTTGACTTCTCTCCCGGACTTACACATTCTTAACTACTTCTGGTATTATGCCAGCACCAGCTAATCGATTGGCTGGTTGGCAGGATAGTGGCCCTTCAACTCTCTGTTCCATCTTGGGGTTTAGGGGGACCGTCGACATTTGAGAAGCTGCTTTTGCTCTCTCTACCACATGCGGCATCCCTTGACCCTTCTGCAACGGTTGTATCCATTTCTGAGCGAGCCACCATCAATTTCCATTTGGATATTGTTGCTTAAGGAGCATTAGCTGCATCTGGTAGTCCGCTAGAGAATGCATCGAATGTCTTGCCGGCAGACGAATATCGTTTGCCGATGGGCTGATCGTCGGTGTCTGAGCTTGGACACTGTGAAGCCTATGTACACCAAGAGCACTCTTATCTGCCTTGACAGGCTCCTTGGCATCATCAAATTGATCTCCCTCCTGATTCTCGCCTGCATGAGGATGTCCTAGTTTGTCGAGGGTGGCTTGCTGCTGTTGAACCCCTGGCGACAGCGAACATGCATCGTGTAAGCTACCAGGGGCCGACTTGACTAATTCTTGGCTGCGTAGCTCCTTGGGATGTAGGCTACGCTGCCCTTGCGTTTAAGCATATACGTCCGGAGTATCTGCTTCAGGCCCGGTATTCAGAAGTCGAAAGGTTGGTTTTGGTGCCGACGCAGGCTTCGCGGGGAGTCAAATTATGATCATATCCACACCCAGCCATTGAAGTAGGAATATTGCTCCACCAACTAGGAAAAGAACGATAATGGCCGCTGGCGGGTACCACGATGAAGAAATCTCAAGCTTTGTCATACCAAAGACACTCTGAGATGGATTAGAAAGTTGCTAACGTAGCTGGTAGAGCTCACCTACTGCCACAAAAGATAGAGGAAGAAAAATAGTTGCTTGGCCTTGGGCAATGCCTTGAGTGTTGAAAGTCTATTGTAGGTGAGTGGTATGGTTAGGCGTCTCTTGCCAAGCGAGGCCTGTTTATTTCGGATATTTTGTGCAGTTCAAGCCTGATCATCCTTACGGAAGAGCAGCAACACTTACTTATACACCTCTAGGGTTAGTCATCAGGACATCTAACTTTTCAGCTGAAAGTAAGATCCTAGACAACAGCAAGGCCGACAGGTTTTACCTGTATATATTTTTTCGTGTTCTTTACCTTTGTGTGCTTGGGTCTAAAGCCTCTTTTAACCTCCTATAACCTTATCACAGTTCATTCCACATGGCAACCACGCAACCTATTAGACTGAGGAGGTTTTCCAGTTGACGAAGGTTTACCTCAAAAATCTCGAGCTAATATTCAAGATTCTGCTGAGAATCCTGTAGCCGGTTCTCTAGCTCGACCAGCTCGGTTCTCTCCTTCAACTCGGCCTCGTCTATAGGCTGCCCTTCTTCTCGCCTTCTCCCCGAGAGGGTTCGCAATTTTTTGATACGGGCCATCTTGCTATTCGGGGACATTCAGGATTTGGCTATACTTTGCGTAGGCTGCATTGAACAGACACAGGTCTTGGCGTAGGGCGATGACGTTGGCCATGTCTTGATGGATGATGCGTGCTATGTCGAGGTCAGCGACGGCATTGGCGCTGGAGTACAGAGAAGCATGCCGCCGAGCGAGCTCGCGCCGCGCATTGGTCCGGATGGTTGGCCACCCTGAGAAGGTAGCATCAAGATCAAGAAACGCCCATTGCTCAAACTTGGCGACACGGTCTTGTCGTCGCTCGATAGACCAAAACTCGCCCATCTTCTCTGGTACGCACTCGTGGAAGCTGAACGTCACGACTACAGCAATCCTTTTAGTACCCTGTTGGCATCCTGCTACCGGCTGTTCTATAGAGAATACCAACAAAGAATGGGAAGGAAGTAAACCTGTGCGGGAGTGATATCGTCTTTGGGCTCACTCTGGCTGCGGCTTGCTTCTTGAACTTGTGGATAATTGGCAAGAAAGGCCACGGCTAGAATGATGATAGACACATCCGTCGGCTTGAATACGTGACCCAGTTAAAATTACCTTGTAGCTACTCAATTACTCACATCTATTGTCGGTGGTGTTCAGGAGAATAACCGTGCCTCGTCCCCATGTGCTCCATTCATAAACAACCACGAAAAGGTGGGTGGCGAAGTTGGGGAAGCATCCCAGCAGTTGTGTTTCAAATTCGTAGTCATATTCGTGGTTGCACAAGACGGTGCTACTACAAGACGGAGAGCATTCGTTAGAAGTCTCCTAATACTGCAACAATGGGGAGAAAGTTGACTTCCACGCACAATATCAAAGGGCGATTGGCCTGGGCAGCCAGATCGAATAGCCTGCCTATGTAACCAAGTGTACTCAGTGGACTCATGCCATGCGTCCCCAGCACTTCTACATCCCCGTTTGATATCTCGGGGTTGCTTATGTTTGTCCAAACCCGAACCCTCCGGGAGCCTGTCGGTGACACAAAGAATTGCGCTTTATCCATGGCGGGCGCAGAGGATTATGTGAACGAGATTGTCTGTTTTCTGGAAATTGGACGCAGTTGAACGACATAGAAAGTAGTATGAGTAGCTTAAAGGTGAAGTTCTGGCTTGGTAGGCGTGATGAGTGGAGATTTTGCTCGGGTGCGGAGGTTCTTCATCCTGCCTCGCGGTAAGCCTCAGAGACTTGGCTGCCAAGGGGATGCAATAAAACTTAGGACCTCTACCCCAGGTGACAAAAGCCCTTAGGCAAACTTAGCACAATTTAGTATAGATTTAGAGAATCTTAGGCCAAGTGATTTTAGTATCTAGTTCAATATTAGAAGTCTTCTTATACCCCGGGGGCTGCCTGGGGCGGACGAAAAGCCTACTACGCGTTTCGCTTGTGCCTGTGAATGTGTATCATCAATGTGCAGTACTGATAGTACGACTTGAGCTGCCTTAGTGCAGTCAAGGCTGGCCCTCGGTTCGATGTTTCCCGCGACATTGCTTAGCCGCACCTACGACGAGAACATCTCTATGGCTCGCCGTAGTTAGACGGAGTAGGTTGAGAGAGGTTTAAGCCGCGTGATGTAATTATCAGCTGTCAGGTCTATTAACTTAAAACAACCAAGTTCTCTCTGTTGATTGAAGCTTTTAGCTGCAAGTCTCAACTGCAAATAACACATCTAGCTAAATAACTCGGACATCTTATTATAAGAGCTAACCAATTACTACAGCGTAAAGCTGAGAAATTGAAAACTTAGATGACGACTCTCTAATTTAATATTATAAACACTTATTGCATGCCTTGTCACGCGCTTATGCAGCTGTTGCTAGGTGAGCGCTTCCTGGTGGACACTTATTGGCCGGGATCTTTCCAGATGGCGGCTAAAGGGTCTTCCGGGGAGTATGGCAGCTGAAAAAATAATAACATGTACTTAATTCCTAGGCTGGATCTTTTTCTATTACAAAGACCTTCTCTTTTTATGTCCTTAATAACTTGCGCCTAAATCTTATTTTTGGAAAGATTTTCCTACTTCCATTGGCGTTACTAGGTGACTGGTTCAGACTCACGTATATCTCTTCCATGAAGCAATTTCCTCCTGTTTTCTCAACAAACTAATAATCATGTGGCTCATGAATACCAAGACCTACAAACTTGAGAACTTCGTTAATCCACCAAGTTCCTACTCGATCCTGTCTCACACATGGGAAGGAGATGAAGTTTTCTTCCAAGACATGGAGAGCCTCCCCTACGCAAGAAGCAAGGCAGGCTGGAAAAAGATACAAATGACTTGCGAAGCATCCCGTCAAGCCAATTTCTCTTACACCTGGATTGATACATGTTGCATCGATAAAAGAAGCAGCGCTGAGCTTAGCGAGGCTATCAACTCCATGTTCGCATGGTATCAGCACTCTTCAGTATGCTACGTTTACCTCTCCGACTTGGTGTTCCCTTGCTCGCCGGTCGACACGGTCATGCCCAAGTCAGATGAGGGCCGGCAATGGGCGGACGTAGCTTTTTCTAAGCTCGAAGATGAACTGAGGGCGTGTCGATGGTTCACGAGAGGCTGGACTCTTCAAGAGTTGATCGCTCCCAGTCAAGTCGTGTTTCTCGACCAAAATTGGAATCGCATCGGATCAAGAACTCTGGGATCAGACCTGCGATTCATCAAGACCTTGGAAAGGCTGACAGGCATACCGAGTACAGTCCTGGACTATAAGAGCGATATCGCGACTATCCCTGTTGCGCAAAGAATGTCTTGGGCGGCGTGCAGAGAAACAACCCGTGTTGAAGATATTGCCTATTGTCTTTTAGGGATTTTCAATGTTAACATGCCTCTTCTCTACGGAGAAGGTTCAAAGTCTTTTCTTCGGCTCCAGGAGGAAATTGTGAAGAGCCATGATGACCTCAGCCTTTTTGCTTGGAAACAAGACTCCGCATCATACGGCATTGGTTTACTTCGAGGATGCTTTGCAGATTCACCGGCCGAGTTCGCTCACTGGCTGAATATCCAAATCAGTGTGAATAATTTCGAATCTGGCATGGAAGTCACTAGTAAAAATGTTAAGATGGACGGCCGAGTCCTCAGAAAGGAAGATCACCCAGCAGGCACTGCGCATGGTGTGGAATGTATATTCGACCTGAGTGTACGGGACCCCGATGATGAGAACTATTCTCTGGGAATCCTTTTGGCGGGCTCTAGCCGGAGTCTTACTCACTTTCGATTCAAGCCCTACGAACTGATCAAGTTGCCGCCGAGAAAAGCCTTGCTTTGCAGAGATGACTTTGATAGCGGTGCCGAATTTGACGTTATGTGTTGGGAGCAGGAAGAAGCGCGGGAAGAGTCGGAGCGGAAAACTATTTTCATCCGAAAATCCATTTCAGTCCAGGAAACTCGCATGATGGGCCATCTTCAAAAGCCTCTATTCAAGATCCATTGGCATGGAGACGTCTTGAAGGTTCTCAAATCAGTCAATGGCCAAACCACCAAAGAATATATACCTTCGTTTGAATGTCACCCGGATTCTGCGTTCCACCAAGACGGGACACTTACGTGGGTTACTGACTTTGAGCTACAAATTAACCCTCAACACGTTGTCTCATTTGTTCTTGCAACCGGACTACAATGGGCACCCGAAGATCTTGGCGCGACTTGCTTTAGACGGGCAGAGCTGCATTACCCACACTTCTGGGCAGTTCTGTTCGGTGAAGGGCGAGCTTACGCTATAAGCAATAGAGGGGAATTTGACAACCAGTCTACAGGACTTAGGGTAGACGGTGAGGGTGGAGACAATTCTGCAATAGTAAGCTATATCAAGCGCATGGATCATCGAGAGAGAGGAACATATGTCCGGGAAAGGTTGTTAAAGCACCATGGCGGTGACACGGGTTTGATATATGACAGATATGGCGGAAGGCTGGCTAGGCTTGTGAGGATATTTTCACCCCTCGACAGAGCGTTGCCTACGTGCGATGTGTGGATGGAATCTCGAAATTGTGAGTTCGATGATTATGGGGAACTCGAAATCAGGATCGGGCCATGCCATGAATTGGGATGGTAATTGAAGGTATTTAGAAGAGTTATTTATGAACTTGTTGCACAATTCAACTGGCCTGCAAGGATCTCACGTCTATGTTAGCTAATGAAATTGTCAAAATAAGATACTATGGTAAAGCCTGGCCGGTCATAGGTTTTGTACTTGAATATAAGGTTCGAGGGGTAAATGTCGCTAGTCCATGCTTGGTGGATTGAACAAAGGAATGGAGCCATGTCTTGACTGCTGAAGTTTCACTACAATCATGAATCGAGTTTAGATGAAACCCGGACATGGCTCGCTGATTAGGCACCGACTCGTTAGGCTGACAGCGGCTTAAGTAGCTGACAGCATTAGCATCCATCTGTAGCTTTTATAGTTCTGCAACTTTGTTCTTAAAGCTTTCTGTTACCCTTGCAAGCCCATTTGAACTATGGGATAACTGCGGCCTATAAGGTTAAGCT